ACCAACTTTGACACAAAAGCTGAATGATAAATAGCACTGTGAGTACCGTTTCGGGAAATAAAGAAAGTTATAGGTGCGATTTTCTTTTAAGCCTTTACTTGTTCTCTTATGTCTCTTTGACAGTATAATATATCCCACCAAAAACATTTTCCCGTAAAATGTTGCTAAGACGAGACCATATGAATCGCACTGTCAAAAAGTTATCAGATTTCATGATCTCATGTAGAGCCAAATTTCTAATTCTACACGCCCAACTGTAAAAGACCTAAATTTACAAACTCTACACCTTAGTCAGAATATGTGGCTCTGCTGGATTCTTTAAATACCTGGATCCATCGCGATTAAGATGCTTCAATCCCGCAAATACCTGGTTTGATAATATTATCTTGCGGGATTTCATTCCCTAACTTTGCCTAATGCAGGCGCTTTACGGTTATTCGTATATGCTATTTGTGAAATTGACAATAGGCTCGAATCTCCTTTTAGTTCCCTATGGAGTATGATAAGGACAACCTACTCAAAATAACAAATAGAAAATATGAATAGCCATCGTAAGAAGTGTTAGGCATAATGCAGCATCGATGGCGGATCGAGGAGCTCGATGGCGCAAGTGATTAGCGCATCGCTGAAGTTAAGCAACTTTCGCAGTGGTCGGTCATTGGAACCCATCCAAAGATTTACTATCTCGAGTTCCTCCGTGCTTCGGTAGGCACGTTAAGCCGTTGGTCCCGGCTGCATCTGCAGTCATTAACACCCACCAATCCGCACTATGCCCGCGTGGTGGGTCATGGCCCATTCTCTCTATTCCATCCATAGGGAAGGCCTGTGCCCCAGGAGTGAGGACATTAATAGGCTGATGATGAATGCAGCATCGATACACGTACACGAAGTTTTCTCTGTTGACATTGGTTAATAGTACCATTATACCGTCATTACTAAATAGGACGAATTTGTATTCATAATTATTATCATTTGTTTTTTTTATCAACACGTGGTGCGGTGTGAGGTATCTTTATCGTTTTTTTAATAATAATTGACCATGACATTTGAGATAACGACGCGTGAAGTGCATTCTTCGGTATATATGGTAAATTAATATTCTTTGTTGTAGGCCGTGATAAAAATTAGCGTGATGGAAAATTAATGTTTGGAATTCCTTTTTTACCGAGGGCCTTTTCTGTGATAATTTCGTGGTTGATGATTCCTCATTCCTTATATAGAACTTGAATGCAAAATGTTTTATAATCTCAATGTTGTGTTTTAGAAGGCACGTTAGGGGACGTTGGTCTCTGCTGCATCTGCAGTCGTTAGAACCCTCCAATCTCCCTTCCCTTTAGGGGTAGTTTAGGAAAACTAAAAATGACAAACTTTATAATTTATTTAAATAAGTATTCGTGCCAAGTTTTAAGTGTAATAACTCAAAGAACAAGATTTTTCATATAAACTTTCGTAGATTTTCGAAAATCCTTGTAACACCTTATTATTTATTTTTGGTATTTAGTAAAAATACCAAGTTTAGCGTTAATCTAAGTACGCGTTAGAATTCATCCATATAAAAACTTCGATACCGTCCTAGTCCCCTTTTAGGGGGTAGGTTAGGAAAACTAAAACTAACAAACTTTATAATTTATTTAGATAAGTATTCGTGCCATGTATCAAGTCTATTTTTTATGATTTTTCATAGATTTAGATTTATTTATTGCAAAAAATATGGTACAATAAGATGACATGTATACAAATAGATTCTACATATTTTACCATAAATGGCATGCAATTTATACAAAAGACTAAATTAAAGTTAAATTAAATTAAAATAGGGGTCTTTACTATACAATTATAAATACCATGATATAATTATATTACAAATAATTCCATTAAATATTTTTTTGATTAAAATTATATCTATACAGAATCTTCAATCATATTCATTCATTTCAAAATAAACCATGTAATACTAAATAAATAACTAATTTACATTATTCGATTGTCAAATTTGTCATTAAAAAAATCTTCTACAGTATAAAAATTTTTTTCCTTGAGCCAAGTCATTAGTTTTGATTTAAATAATTTACTGGGTAGACATTTTATTTCATTAGGTATTGCATTATATACTTTTACACACATACAATTACATTGTTTTAAGTACCAAGTTAATTTCGGTAGATTATTAAATATTAATCTATTTGGGTCTCTTACACTTTTGTTTTGATTTCTCATTTTAAAAAGATTAAAATTGTTTTTTACAAAAGTAGCAACTTCAAATATGTACAGACATGGAAGAGGCAGTATGCCCAATGATTTAAAGAATGGCTTACAAGACTCGCGTGGGGAAAGCCCACAGATCGCCCTTACACATTTTTTTTGGACTTTGAACAGTCTATCCGCGTCGGTTAAATTTCCCCAAATTAAGAGTCCATACCTAAGCATGCTACCAATATAGCCATGATAGGCTGCCAGAGTAGTTTGTAACGCAGCCATGCTTCTCAACCTTTTCAACACAAATACATAGCGGTTCAACTTATTACTTATCAGATCAACGTGTTGCTTCCAAGTGCAATTATCATCCAGTAAAATACCTAAAAATTTTGTTTCACTCACATCCTCGATTGTCTGACCTTTATAATTAATATTAAGTGGTATTTTAGTTTGTCTACTTGTACCGAACTGCATAAAATTAGTTTTTTGAAGATTCACTGTCAAATTATTAAATTTAAGCCAATTTATGACATTCTCAATACAAGCATTTATCTCGCTTTGAAAGTTATCAGGGCCACTGCAGTAAGGAATGATTATGGACACATCATCCGCGAACAGAACACATTTATGACCGGTTGCATCAGGAAGATCATTAATGTATAATAAAAATAACAATGGACCTAGTACACTTCCCTGAGGCACACCATATTTATTCATTAGGTATTCAGACTTATTTGAAATTGAAGTTGGTCCAACTTCATGCTGTTACTTTTTTGTTTACCGCACATTAAGAAAATCTACCAACAAAATAGAAATAGAATCTCTATTTAGTGGGTGCTAACGACTGCATTGTGAAGGCCTATCAAAAGTATTTATTAATCTGGAACAACGGAACCAAAGCGCGATTCAGGAGACTACAGCGCCATCTCTTGACCATTGGTGTAGTAGAACCAAAAACCACATCTTTATTTATCAAAAGTATTTATTAATCTGGAACAACGGAACCAAAGCGCGATTCAGGAGACTACAGCGCCATCTCTTGACCATTGGTGTAGTAGAACCAAAAACCACATCTTTATTTTTCAATGTTACTTTTATGTTATTATTGTAATAAAGTAACAGTTATAGGTATTCATATTTATAATATTTATCCACATGTTTCTAGTTTGTATATTCGGAATACGTGTTTGAGTTTCATACAAGTGCAAATCACATATGTTCTAATAAATTATATTCAGTAGCGATTTTAATTGAATATTTTGATTATTTATTTATTTTTTCAAATTAAAACTGAACTTTATTGACTGTGTCCTTTTCCAGACTTTTTATTAATTTATTGTAATTAATTATTTGCATGCAATTAAAAACTAATTTTAAACAATGCCAAAGAAGGATAACTTCTCACGCGCCTACATAAGTACACGCACCTATTTTTTTTGTACCGTGTGTACCTAGGTATAATAATCTTATTGTACCGGTGGGGCTCCCTAAAAATTTAACTATGAGACTTTATTTGTCCACACATTTGTTCCAAAATAATAATAAAAACAATAATAGCTGTTTTTATCACATTTTATTAAGTTTTAATTTAAAAATCCAATTTTTAATTGTAAACATCGGAAAAAATCGTCTATTTTACTTATTAATAAATATGTATGTATATGTTACCGGCCAAACCCGATTTCAGGACAAACTAGTTTTGCCTAGGCTAAACTACTTCTTTTATACGCGATAGGATTAACTAGTATAGCCTAGTCCAAACTAATTTGTCCTAAGCCCAATAGGATAAACCAGTTTAGCCTAGGCCAAAGTAGTTGATCCTAATATAAATACGCATATTCTAGGATAAAGTAGTATGGCCTAGTCTAAACATTATAGTATATCAAGGAAGTCAAAATAAATAGATAAACTGAATAAAATACTCCGTAATTGGAAAAATATTTTTTTTTTAAAAAGATAACGATTCATCGTTAAAAGTTATTGATAATTAGTAATACAAACAATTATACTATAACAAATAATATGTGTTTTTTTTAATGGAAGCAATAATCATATCTCAATTATTAAAATTGTTATTTAATTTTACATGGTGTACTTTGGTGGCACTCAGAATTGCAGAGTATCATTGCCATCATTGGCATCTGTTTGTGGAACATTTTGGTTGCAGCTGCATCTCACCAAACAAAAGGCCTATTACTTATGTGTGCGAGTGTACCCATGCGCATAAACACTCCCTCCACTTTCTTCCAGCGTTCTTTTTACATGACGCGACCTGTACAAGTCCTGACATGTTTGTTCAATTACTTTCGACTCTGCTAAATTGGTTTAGGGCCGTAGGGACGTAGGCCGTACTAGTTTATCCTAGAGTGTGAGTATTTATATCAGGATCAACTAGTTTGGCCTAGGCTAAACTGGTTTATCCTATTGGGCTTAGGACAAATTAGTTTGGACTAGGCTATACTAGTTAATCCTATCGCGTATAGGCAGATCTAGTTTAGCCTAGGCAAAACTAGTTTGTCCTAAAATCGGGTTTGGCCGGTAACATATACACAAATATCACTCCCGCAACTGCCAAGAACATTTTTATTAGAAAACAAGGAAAAAGTTGTCTACAATAGATTTCTGATCCATCTTACTCGTTGACAATCTTTTAATGTCCCAATTCGCGGGAGTGTTGGCAGCTGCGACAAACTGTATGTTTTTCTTTTTGACCGCATAGTATACAATAAAACGTAAACTTTCAATAGTAGTTTATATAATTTGTATTACTACTTATTGTTATTTGTATTTTCTGTTGGTTACAGGACCGAGTGTTGAACATCACAAGCCAGATAATGGACCAGATTTTGGGAGACGAGCGCGTCGCGAGAGGATTCAGGGTGAAGTTTCCAGAAGACGTCCTACAAGACAACCTGGCCGGGCAGCTGTGGTTTGGGGCTGAGGTTGTGTTTTTTTCTTTTATGAACACTTCTAGAGCAGCTTGATAGCACAGTGCCTTGTTCAGTCTGCTATCGGGAAGTTAAAAGTCTCTAATATATCTAATATATAAAATTCTCGTGTCGTGGTGTTTGTGGTTAAACTCCTCCGAAACGGCTCGACCGATTTTCGTGAAATTTTATATGCATATTCAGTAGGTCTGAGAATCAGATGTAATCTATTTTTCATCCCCCTAAATGTTAAGGGTAATCCACCCCTAATTTTTTTTTCAATTCGAGATTTTTTTTTATTTTTTTTATGATACAGCATTAGTAAATACATACAACTCTAAATTTTCACCTTTCTACCACCAACCCCTATTTTTTTATGGCGGTACGAAGTGCGCTGGGACAGATCGGACATCTATTTTTCATCCCCCTAAATGTTAAGGGTAATCCACCCCTAAATTTTTTTTTCAATTTTAGATAAAAAAAAAGTTATGATACAGCATTAATAAATACATATAACCCTGAATTTTCAACCCTTTACAATCAACCCCTATTTTACCACCGCGATTTTTATTTTTAATAATTTCTTTTTTTTCTCAATTCAATTTGATCTTCCGCCTTCACCGGTCGATAACCGATCAACGATCAATCGATCAGTTATCCCCGCTAGATGTCTACCTGGGTCACCTCTCAGCCAGCAAAAATCACGGAGTAGGGATAAGAAGGAAGCCGGTCTCCTGTCTTCCTCAATATACAGTTTTCGGCCATTTTTTTTGGTTTCATTTGTGTATCGATCGTAGTAGTGACTTATACGTATTATTTTAATTTTTCTGTGCATCTATTACGTTAATTTTACTCTCATCGTGAATTTATTATTAATTTCCAGAGCAATAATTATTTTTTCACATTTTATTAATAACTGATAAAGACAGTTTTAACTATTAGCCGAAACGGCTTGACCGATTTTCGTGAAGTTTTATATGCATATTCAGTAGGTCTGAGAATCGGACAACATCTATTTTTCATCCCCCTAAATGTTAAGGGTGGTCCCTACTTAAACAATTTTTTTTGGACCATCATCATACAAAAATACATACAACCCTAAATTTTCACCCTTCTACCAACAACCCCTATTTTTTATGGCGGTACGAAGTTCGCTGGGACAGCTATATAGTAGGTATTTCTATAGACATTCAATATACGAATGGTGACATTGTAATGCTCCATACCTATATAAATAATTATAAAAAAAGTGGCTTCAGACTTTCTCATTTCAGAACCAATACAATATTAAAAAAAAGCAGTATTCGAAAATTTAAAAAAAATTAAAATTGAATGCCGTAGATTTCAAACCGAGGTTCCCTAAGCGATGCGTGTGGAACTGAATTTTCTTACATTGAATTTACGTCCTTCAAATTTGTTTGTGTAGCTTTTGTAAAATTGTTTTTTCGTTATATAGTGAAAAGCTCTTCCACTGTTTCCTTTTGTTTATTTGTTGTTAATTTTTCTTTGTATTCTAGATATAAATGCTGATTCATTATATTTACATAGTATTTAACACACCCGTGTGAAGCCGGGACGGGCCGCTAGTATTTATATATATATATATATACTAGCGGCCCGTCCCGGCTTCGTACGCGTGGAGTTAGTTAGAAATACAGGTTCACTGCTCGTTCCCCGTAGGTGATAGCGTGATAATACGTAGCCTATATGTTGACCCGACTTCTTAATAATATTCGTGGCAAATTTAAAGTAGTAAATCCATGCAGTACTTTTTGAGTTTATCCCGGACATACATACAGACAAAAATTCGAAAAACTATATTTTTGGCTTCGGTATCGATTGTAGATTACACCCCAAGTATTCTTCTAAAAAAATATTCAGTGTACAATTTTGACTTTCCTACCATTTTATTATATGTATCGATTTGGGGACTGGTCATTGGTCATATTCTAGCTTTTGCCCGCGGCTTCGCTCGTGTCAATGTATTCTGATTTTTGGATACTGTGACTTGCAAAAAAAACCCCATACAATTTTTGGTTCTGAAATGTTCTGCCTTGTATGGAACTGAAAATTATTCTTTATTATACATTTCTTATTTACTTTTCTTGTACTTGGTCGATACAATCATGGACAAAAATAGAGCTTTATATATTCATATTAACGGATGCTGTTATGAACTCTGTTGTATACCTTTTCATTACATAGTTCATCTTTATTTCGCATAATATAAATGGTGCACTTAATTTCGATTGAAGTTTATGCGAGGGTAATATACGATCGCTTAAGAAAATTTAGAATCTCGGCGGTATGTTTTGTGACCATGATTGTAATTATTGCCCGATATCTACACATTCCACAAAAGCGGAGCTGTGCGATAATTTGTAAAGCGGAGCCGTGTAAACAGGCAAGTGTTTCTATAGAAGCTGTGCGAATATGAGCCGTGTTAAGTGGAGATGAGCTGAGTGGAGCAATTTGAAGATGAGCTGAGTGGCGTTGTGAAACATTTTTTAAAAAGTTACTTAAACAATTGAATAAAGCAATGCAATAGCTCCGCTTTTTCTCAAAGCCGCCCAGTGCCGCAACGCACTGTGGAATATTTCGGTGTGTTTCGGATTAAAAATCTGTAACTCCGTCAATTTGAAAGATAGACTTATAAAATTTTGCTATAATATAAAGTGATACATAAGGATTCATATAAGTAATGTTTGATGAATTGGAATTATGCGTATTTTTTTTAATTAAAAAAGAAAAGTCACAAAATGATTTAAAATAGTATTATTAGTATTATTTATTTATTGAAATATTTTTAGAAACATATTGTACGTCTATTTCTTAATGCTAATTACTCTATTAAGATAACTATCATATTATATTGATAATATAAAATTAAAAATGGTAAAATATTTTTAACACTACGCTAACATACAGAAACAAATCAAAATTATCTCAATATATATTTCTTTTTTTTTGCTCAGCAAGATTGACATCTTACACCCGGTGAGCTTCAGGATCTGAAATAAGTTCATTAACCTTGAGAAGGTGTAAAGTATCTTCATCGAGCTCCTTTACATTTTTTGCATATGGTTTTCTTATGCTCGTTATATATGGATCTGAAGTGTAAAGTAGTGTATTAAACACATCTTCGTTTGTAGCTATTCGAGAGCATTTCCGAGCATGGTGTAAGCGAAATTTTTTATAGTCCTTATTGCGAGATTCTTGAGCATCTTCTGAAAGTTGCCCAATTCTTAATACCGCGAAATGGTTTATGATACTCTCTCAGTAAATAAAAATTTTGTGGACAGATGATGGCATGTAATACCAACTATATTTACTCACGTATATTCTTGCAGTTTCCAGAGCATAATTACCAAATTTCTTACTATCTACCACTATACCAGATGACAAAGCCTGCAAAATTATATATAACCGTTTAATTAAATCAATGTCAATCCCTGTGATATCAGCAGAACAGGCAGCATTGTAAAAATATCTCCTAGCAGTATTGCCATCATTACTATTTCCCGTCCCCTGTCGTGGTTTATCGATATTTAGGCCCAACTCTTCACGAAATCGCTTTTGTACTTCAGCCTTTTTTTCTTGTTTGAGTCTTTTTTTTCTTCGCTTGTAGCAGACCACGTTTGGAAAGATAGATTATATGATATGTGTAATATCATTTCCATGCAACGAATCCAGGCATGTAATGTGGATAATCCGTATTGATAATTTTCAGGCCTAACTATTACTTTCGTTAAATCATTAATTTGTCTAGGAGTTGCTCCGCATATTGTACATGTGGAACTAGAAGGCGTATCTGTTAAAACTTGTGCCACTTTTCCGTCTATCATCGTCAAGAAAAGTTCATGCTTGACTTGGACTCCCACGCCTTCTATATTAATTATTGATGGAAGCAAAGTTTGTATTTGATTTTTTATTTCATCTACAACCGATTTAGTTTTTTCTGGCGTTTCTTTGCAAAATTCTATAGATATAGGTCGACAGAAACGAACAGATGAAGGCACTGGATTTTGCCATGTGATGGTGCCTGTTTCCACGTCAGTTAATCTGATAGGCACAAAAGAAGTAATAAATAAATTTGCATCGGAAATAAGTTCAGACTACATAAACATAACATAACATAACAATATCAAATAATTAATTCATAAAATGTACCACAAACTATTGATAATAAAAGTAAACTACGAAACCGCATTTGATAGCGATTTCCGTTCCCAGACTAGTATTCGATTTTTTCACATATCTCCGAAAACCGCAAAAAGCCGCAGCTAATTTTTTTATATGTTTTAGATGAGTAACTAACCTATAATTTAACATTAAATTCAAAGCATCGGTAAACAACTCTAAATGTTAAAAGATTCGACGAAGTTGAGGAAAAATAAATATTTCTCCATTTTTTCTTTAAATTGGTTTTTAAATTTATATTCATATTAAAAACAATCAATTATATTTATTTCTAACCTCTGATAAATGTGCTTTTCAAAAATATATAATACCTTATACCTTTCATTTCAAGTTTTAAAACTATTTCACGTTGAAAAACGTAAATGAAGAACTTAATATTTCCCAGCTGCCTAAACGTTTAACTTTGCTACATGAAAAAAAATACTTTTACGAAATAAAATATGAATTACGCTGCAGAATATTAAACTTCGACTTTTGAACTATTAAATTATATTCATATATTACCCAATTTCAATCAGTAATAAAAATCAATTTTGATATGCGTTTGTTCTACCATATTCCACCGTGCAACGCTCCGCCTCGCTCAGCATGAAAACTCCGCTTAACATTTTAATGTTATTTTTATCAACTCCACTAATACTATTTCCTCCGAAGCGGAACGGAGAGATGTGTATTTTTTGCAATGCGATGGGTAATTTTTTGAAGATATTGTTTAGTTTCGCGCATCTGCGCTTATGTGGAAAAGCAGGCTTATTTGCGCACGCACCTCTTTTCGAGTATCAGTGTTTATTTTGCTAATGATTTTGTTTCTTGGTGCAACAATCGCTTTTTCACATAAACATTGATTTTAATTTCAATCCTTCAGGCCTCCCTCTGCGGTAGCAAAGCTTTGGACATTGTTTAAGCCTTCAAAATTCAATTGGCAGATGCTTACAGTGTCTAGCATCTTTTGTCTGTTATCTCTGATAAGAACCGCTTTTGAATTGGTTATGCGACCGGCATCTGCTGTTGTCCCAAGCCATCTTAGTCGCGATATTATTTGTAGCGTTACAGATTGAGTTAGCTTAACGTCGTTGAAACTGGAACTTGGCAGTTAAAACTTATAACACTAAATGGGTAGATGTGTCCGGCCGGAAGTATATATCCATGAAAATTTCATGTATGTGAATTTACGAGATAAATAAAAATGCAAGCGTAATATGGCTTGAAGCTTATTCTGTATATAATATGTTTAGATAAGTCGTTCGCAGGAATATGCAAATAGTTACAATAATTAGTAGTTAAAATTAATGCTGCGCGAATTCTTATCATAATTCATAGCTTTCTGCGTCGCAAATCTATATCGCGTCATTTTGCAGTCTTGTGATTATGAACCCCGTACTAAATTGCATATATCTATCTCATAGTCTTGCGCCTTCGATGCTCTAGCAAACTAGCAACTGTTATTACTATTTACTGACTTGACTTCATTCTCGTTGTAGTGCCTCGCCATAAGGCTCGAGGCTTACGGTCTTCAAACAATACTGAGATGCGACGTCGTATCGTAGGAATATACGAATTTTTAGAAGTAGTAAATAGCTGTGCTGCACGAATTCTTATCATAATACATAGATTTCTGCATCGCGAATCAGCATCGCGTCATTTTGCGGTTTTGTGTTAATGAACCCTGTACTAAATTGCATTTGTCTATCACATAGTCTTGTACCTTCGTTATTACTATTTATTGACTCCAATTTCATTCTCGTTATAGTGCCTCGCCGCGGGTTCTTCCATTATGAACCGTGAAGAAGAGTCGGCAGCGATGCGCCCCTTGGCCAAGGCACTCACTCGAAGCTTAGAGACCGTCCGGTCTCTTCTGCGCGAGCAATGCCTGAGGCCTAGAGGGCACGCGCTGTCACAACACGACGACATGCTCCATGAGAGTTTGAGAATATTCGACAGGTGAGGTTACTATAACTACATCTTCATTTTCTGGCATGAGCTGAGAGCTGAGGATATTCAACAATTGAATTCACTTTCATCATCGTAAATAATACCTCAACTTACTGCTATTTATTTTGGTAACACTTGTCGCAAGTCGAGAATAATTTATGCTCGTAACTTAGGGCGCTTGTTAACGAGACGATTTCTACCCGGGTCTAGGCACGGTCTTAAACCGTGTCTCCGTTCGGTGGCCAGTTAGGAGGACTGACAAGAAGGGACACTTTGTTAACGACACCGGCGCTGGCGACGGTTTGCGGTCGGTACAAACGAACAAACCGTGCTTGTGAACAAGCTTAGCCGTACCGGCCCGGGTAATAATCGTGCCTAGACCCGGCGGAAACCAGATCGTTAACAAGTGCCCTAATTGCGTGAGAGAGAATGCCTGTAAACGAAGCCTCAATGTGTGCGTGACAGAAATGTAGCTGTGTTCTAAATTGACTCCCTGCATGACATACTCTGATATTATGATAGATAATTTGGTTTTAATGATGAACACAAACATTTATGCTGGATACCTATGTATCATTATAACTATTTCTATCCGTGACCCTAGTATCTCATAAACATCTTTTCACGGGAAAACGTCATCGAGTGCCGGAACAAATTTGTGTCTGAAGTCGAAACTTTGTTAAATCGAGTAACGAATTGGGGCCGACTTAATCTAGTCCAATTTAACCCTACGAAGACACAAGTATGCGCGTTCACCGCAAAAAAAAAATACCATTTGTCGCATCTCCTCTTTTTGAGAACACTCCTCTAACTGCCTCAGCTAGTATTGGAATTCTTAGCGTTGACATATCGAGCGACGTCCAGTTTCGGGATCATTTAGAGGGCAAGGCCAAATTGGCCTCTAAGAAGCTTGGTGCTCAATAGATCGAGAATGTACTTCACACCGGCCCACCGACTGCAGCTTTATTATGCACAGGTTCGGCCTCACATAAAGTACTGCTCTCATCTTTGGGCGGGGGCACCCCAGTACCAGCTTCTCCCTTTGGATCGCATCCAGCGCCGAGCGGCTCGAATCGTCGACGACCAGGACCTTTCCGATCAGCTTGATCCTTTGGCTTTGCGTAGGGATGTAGCTTCGCTCTGCATCTTCTATCGCATTTATCACGGGGAGTGTTCTGAGAAATTGTTCGGATTAATTCCAGCTGCTGCATTTCGCCATCGCACATAGCGACAAAAATTTCATCCCCATCATCTTGATGCGTGGCTATCCACAACCGTGCGTTTTTGTCGAAATTTTTTACCACGCACGACAAAACTGTGGAATATGTTGTCGCCAGCAGTGTTTCCGGACCGATACGACCCAAAAACCTTCAAAAAAAGAGCGTACTCCTTCCTTAAAGGCCGGCATCGCATTTGTGATACTCCTGGTGTTGCAAGTGTCCATGGGCGACGGTGATCACTTACCATCAGGTGAGCCGTTTGCTCGTATGCCCCCTATAACATAAAATAAAAAAAAACCTAAAAAAAACAGTGCCTACAGCGAGGCTAGAGGTAATTCGTGTGAATGTGAGAAATATCTGTTTTAATTATTAAATAATATTTCCAACACAAACCAATTAGCCTAGCCCTAAAGTAAGCAATGAAAGGCTTGTGCTATGAGATACAAGGGTAACGGATAGAATACATATACTGAAATATATATATATATATATATATTATGTAGAAATACATGTAAACAGCCATGACTTACGTACAAATGTTCGTATTCATCATACTAACATTTGCCTCACCGGGATACGAACCCATGACCTCACGAGTAGGCGACAACTCGAAACCCGGCATACATCCTACTCGGCCACGGAGGTCTTTTTATTTAATTATCATCACCGATCCTTCGCAGACTGTTCGCTGAGTTCGAGTTGTGCTACGTGAGCGCCATGGTCAACGTGAAGACTCCCCACGAGTTCGAAGCGCAGCAGCTGATCTGCGTGCTCTTCTCGGAGAGTCTACGCCGAGCCCTTAAACAGAGCCTGCTCACACAGGAACAGGTGAGTAGTCCGTTATTGCAAGAGAACATTTCTTAACAGAGGTAGGGCACAGCGAGTTTTCTGCTCGATTTGGAGTACCCGTCTAGGGAAGCAACCTCCAACTTCCAGAAGGCCACAGTAAAATATCACTACCTTTTGTAGGTGTTGTGTTTTTGCTGGTGAGTAGGTCTAGGGCTCCGCGGGGTAGGAACATTAGTTCAGACCGGCAAGGTGAGGATGGCTGGAGCTGCACACCTTCTGCCGCATCATCTTTTTTTGCGACCGGACTCCACTAACACTTAATATCAGGTGATTCTATTATCATACAAAAATTTATCGAAATCGGTAGGTAATTAATTGTTTTATTGTGAAGCGTCACAGACAGATAAACTAACGGGCGAAGTTAATTGATACATTGTTTAATGTGAATATTCTAAATGTGACTAGTCGATGTGACGTCGAATACATTGTAGGATGTGTAAAATTTTGATAAATGGTTACTTTTTCTAACTTTCTTTTAGCCATAGTCACATTTAAGTATATATCAAGCAACGGACCCTTGGTATGTATTTTCGACTGACATTCATTTAAAAGTGCTGTTGTAATTAACTTAATGAAAAATGTATGTATTCAGTGTTCTACATAATAATTATTAATCCCACGTTTGATATACAAATATATAGTCAAGAACGCCGAGTTTTCAATGTATTGAGTATACTTATTGCGATTGTAAAGAGCACCATTATGAGAAAGCTGGTAGTGTGCCAAAGCATTCTGCACTGTAATTACGCAGAATAAAAGGGATTATTCTCTATTTATTTATTTTTTCAGGTTGACTCATATGACCCCGCGCTGATGTTTGCCGTGCCGCGTCTGGCGATTGTTAGCGGTCTGCTCATATACTCAAGTGGCCCCCTTAGTATAGACAAATCACCAGGTAATTTGACAAACACTTATTGTAAATATGTAATAAGATAACGTTTAGTTAAAGAGTAGCCTTAGCACGAACCAATATCGAATTCGGTTAGTTGAATTCGATGTCGATATGCGTCGAATTTCAAAAAGTTTTGTATGGAAATTTGAACAGCGCTGCAGCGCCACAACGCATGGAACGAAAATTAAACATCTTCCATACAAAACTTCTTCACATTAAACGCGTACCGAGATCGAATTCAACTGTTCTAATTTGATATTGGTTCGTGCTAAGGGTACAGTATACAGTAGAATCTCTATAGCGCAGGTGGTAAGCGCTTTCGCACTGCAATCGTGAAGTTCAAACTTTCTCAATAGCCGGCCATTGGATCAGTGGCCAAATACTTATTATCTCGAGCTCCTCCGTGCTTCGGGACTTTAGCCGTTATTTCCGGCTGTATCTACAGTCGTCAGCACCCAACATCCGCACCACGCAAGCGTGGCGGGTCCCAGCCACTACAACTTTATCAAGGGTCGGCCATTGGATGAGTGGCCAAATACTTATTATCTCAAGCTCCTCCGTGCTTCGGCACTTTAGCCGTTGGTCCCGGCTGTATCTACAATAGTCAGGACTCAACATCTGGTACCACGCATGCGTGGTGGATCACGGCCATAGAGCAACACGGTCGACGCGGTCAGAAGGGAAGTAGGCATACACAGCTTTCCCCTCTGTCGAGTAGGGCATACAAACGATACATCTGTGCAGAATTTGGCGATGCATTGTGTCATTGTATATGTGTGGGTGTCGTAGTAACAGTTTTGTTTTGTATGCGTGTACGTTAAACTGCGTTTGTGTGTTGATTTGAATAGTATTATGTCGCTATGGCTTCTCCCTTCCTATGTTGCTCTATGTTACATCCCAATCTCCTTATTCCATTCATAGGGAAGGTCTGTGTGCCCCCCTAATGGGGACATTAATAGGCTTATGATGATAATGATGCAGTAAACAATAAGATAACGTAAAAACGTAAAAAATCAGTAGGTAAATTGAATGTTTGTCAAAGTGGCGTGTGCCCTTGTGCTTTGTGTTAAAAAAACATCTAAATGCAAGTTCATACTAAAGTAGCTACTCTGTTAGGTCGCTGGTAGGATATTTCTGATAAGACTTGACAGTATGATAAATAAAGTACAAATTCTAGACCTCTAAAAGAGGCCGTACAGAAATGGCGGCACACGAATATTAGGTATTTGGCGCGAACACTGCGCCTGTGTGCGTTACGAGGGGCGCTGGATAAAAATGTTAGGATAAATAATTTTGATACGATGAGCATTGGATTTCCGTCGATCTTAAGGGATGATATGCATGCGAATGCAATGCATGTGGTGTAAAGAACCTTTTTCTAGAAATTTTAAACAATACTTACGTAACGTAAATTTTTTGAAAGTATTAAAAAGTCAAAAGTTAAAATAATTTTCGAACTTTTTACAGCCTCCGCGGTTGCATAATAATATTCAAGTTTGTTGCTGTCACTAAGTCTGCAAGGAAATACAAACATAAACGAAAAGTGTTTGATAAAATTAAATGTTTGTCACCAGAGGAGATGTCAGACATGTTCCGTCCGTTCCGCACTCTGCTGCACAAGATCCGCTCGCTGCTGTGGACGCTGGACAGGCGCGAGCTGTGCGCCCTGGAACGACTGCTGTGCTCCAACGAGGACATCTCGCACCTGGCCGCACTAGATCTGCCCCCAGGTATGTGTTTGTGTTAACGCGGAAGAATCCCTAAACGGGGATCCGCGGCTTCGCACTAAGCAGCTTAGAGGGTAATCGCGGGGTTTTTAGCGGATATTATGCCGTAAAGCGCCCGTAAGAGTTAAGTAAAGCTTGCGGGAACCAGGTGTAAGCCCGTTCGGCGGTGTGCCTCTTAAAGGCCCCGTCGTCTGTAAATAGAGGTTTTGCCTGCGTCACAGAAAAGAGGTGTGCTTCTGTGTGTCTATCATCGGAGACTATCGAGAGAGCTATTCACATTGATGCTTACTTGGGCAGCATCTTTATGAGTGGAACCTCGATACGAAGAGAAGATCACCTGCCATCCCGGGGCGAGCGTACATGGATGGTGGACGTTTTATTCGTGTAAACTAGTTTTTGAGAATCCCACAGAAAACTTAATTTTTTTCAGGATTCATTCTGGTCATAAACTATATGTGTGCCAAATTTTGATCCAAACCAGTTCAGCCGTTTTTGCGTGATTGAGTAACAAACATACAAACACACAAACATACGATCTTACAAGCTTTCACATTTTATAATATTAGTAGGATATAATCCCATGATTTTATATTGTCACTTATTTCTTTGTAATATCCCTATTGATAACAGCGTCATGTGAAAGAAAGGATTATAACTTATTTTTTATACAAGGCGCAAAAAATTACCCCATCCCACCTAATGTTAAGTATGAGAGGAGTCCATTTGCGAAGATAGCCGATATCGCATAAAAAACAATCGCGTCGCATCATCAATGATAAGCAACTGCTAGGTGAAGATGTCTTGGTCAACTGTCTTGCAGGTACACTATGGAGTACTAGAATCTAAAAAAGAACAAAAAGGTCTTGCAAATAAACATTTTCTTTATAATATAATTAGAGAGAGATTAAAATTAAGTAACTAAAGTCTAGATAAGAAGATGGCTGGAAGGAGTTTTGAACTATCTCACCTTGCCGGCCTGTACAAATGTTGTTGACGCCTCTATTGAAGGAACCCGCGTTGTAGGAAGTTTTATTTTACAGTGGTAAGTGCATTTCCCCAAGGGGGTCGTCCATAAAAAGTAAAAAAACGTTATATCACCATGAGGGGGGCGGGGAGGATATAATGAGATCAACTAAACAACCAAATAGCAGTGCGTGGCCTTGATTTATCGTTGCCAGGTAACGATAAAGTTAATATTCTGAAAATTTCACTAATGTTTAAGCGGCAAATACGCTATGCTCTACCACTTTAAAAATCCACCCAGTGGACCCAGTTAGATTCATCAGTGTTTTCGATAGTGGCATACTAACATGTCCTCAAAGTTGCTAAAGCAACTTCTGCGTAGAAATCAAATCAAACAAAAAAAATTGTGTGTTCGTTCTGAAACATTTATTAATTTGAAGGTATATTTGTTTGTTTGCAGCCGGTGATTCTTTAGACGAATCAACTTGCCCATATCCTGATATTGGTGAATTCGTTTCAAGATTTTACGCTGACCATGCGCATTGTAGAGATCTCTACACTCAAAGGTAATAGTAATAATTCAATCGCTTTTATTTGCATAATGTACTTCAATTAAACCAGTAATGGGCTTAAATCTTTAAACCTTAAACAAAATTTTACAGTGTCTTTATCAAGCTATACAATGAGTAAAAAGGAAAGACTACTTTTTTTGTTTAAGTTTATAGAGATTCTGGCATGATTCTCTAAACTCTCCCAACTTTTCATTCTGTATAGATAATGACAAGGATAATTTTTGGTTTAGAGACTAGAAAAATTAGGTCAAATGTTTGACTATAACAATAACCCATTTTGTTTCCAATTGTCTTAACTTGGGACTTTCTGTAACTGAAATAAAGGTATCTAACTTTTCTGGCACCTACCAAAAATTTAACAACCTTTGTGTACATTGTTGCCCTGCCCTGTGTGTATGCTAATTAATTGAATACGAGTTTGTTTAGTTGACAGCGATACCGTACTTACCGCCAGTTATTGTGCAACTTAAATATATATTTTATTATTTTATTTTTTCATAGCCAGGTAGGCAACTGACTCTACCCCACCTGATGTTAAGTGGTGATAAAGTCCAAACGCGAAGATAGCTGGTACAGCAGTTATAAATTGCTACACCAACCATCCTCACCTTGCCGGCCAGTAAAAATGCTTCTTCACGCCTCTCTTAAAGGACCCCAGATTGTAGGAAGGAGGTAACACGTGCGCGGGTAAAGAATTCCACTTACGAAAAATACGACAAAGTAATGAGTCACCAAATTTCTTTGTTCGTGTAGGAATAGTGGCCACAGTAAGTCGGTGGCAACGTAGGCCAGTCCTTTTTTATATTACTTCCAAAAAAATCTTACGAAACGATCTGTAAAAGTGGTATGCTTACTTATAATTTGTTTGCAGTTCAACCGAACCAACGATAACAGACGCCGATTACCTCCCCGACAATATAGAAGTGATGACTCCCATTATAGACGGCCTGCGTCGTCTCGACGCGACAGACAGTTCAGACGTAGACATAGACTCACGACAAGAGGGAAGGCTCTATTCCACAACTAGCACAGACTCTTTCCACACAGAAGATAACGATAATAACAGGAAAACTAGTAGAGCAGAGTCTACAGACCTCGCGTCTTTAAGGAATCTATCGACAAACGGCTTAATGATGTTCGATCCGCTAGTCATAAACGCTGCATCAACCTCCACAGATAAACAGATCCCAGACCCCGATTTAGTCACGAGTTTGAACGAGCAAGTGACGGAAATAGCCGACAGGTTATCCTCCATAATGTCCAGCGACGTGGAAGTAGAACTACCTAGCAGACACTCTTTCTCCACCAATGACGTACCATCAATAACGGAGACTGAAGTGTTCGGCCTAGGGTCCAGAAATGAACAGATGAGCTGCCTGCCTTCGACCAGCCACGGATACCTGATACCGAACGCGATAAACCACGAACCGGTTCTGTCTCTTTCACACAATAATTCAGCTGTTTTCAACCAGGAGGACGAAAACCACGAGACAAACGGTGGCACTATCTTGAACACTGACCTCCAACTCATAATACCAGACAACATTGACGCCGAAATTGTTAACACTAACATATCGATAGCCAACGCCAATTTGAGTTCGTTACTTTTGACCAACGAGGAGTTTAGGACTAGTTTCATAGACGAGACGGCAGACAATGACAATACCAGCTTCCATTCGGCTAAGATGACCATAGATAGGGACGAAGACGATAGGGTTAAGTTCATGTTAGGTTACGAGAGCGACCACGAATCGCCCGTTGATTCTGGGGTCAGCACAGAAAACACTAGCTTAGATAGATCCCCTGATACGGATCAGAATAAGGATGTAAAAGCGAACCATTTCATGCAACAGAACAGGGTATTAGAGAGTCCCGAAGAGAAGGATACCAAAAATACACTAGAGAGCTCGTTTTCCGATGTAAATAACGACAACGGAACTGTAAATATAAACTACGTTGAGCAGCATACTCAGAAGAACGAAGCTGGTTCGTCAAGTATAGATGTAATGAACAGGATATCAGAAGAGGAGGGTTTGAACGAAGCGACCAATTCAAAGTTACAAGACTGGGGTGCTAACACCCAACAAGAAGAATTTAGGAGTATAGACGAAGTTATAACTGAGCTGAGGAGACAAAGGGAGTCTGATATGAAGATTAACACGCTAGTCAACGACAATAATAGTACAGAAGCGCCGGCACAGAGCACGTCCAGGAAAAAGACTAGAAAGAGTGTTAAGAGTAGGCGAAGAAAGAAGATGTGGTCGCCCGGCATGGTGATATTGGACAATAGGTCGACGCAGCATCAGAACAACACGCTCAAGTTGAATCTGGACCATTTCGTTGATGAAAGGTAAGAATAGCATCTTAGTGTATTTTAGGATTCTTGGAGCTATGTGTAACATGAGTCCATTACACACTGCCCCCTAAAACTCTGTACTTTATAGACCTAATAGCGATCGCCCGCGAAGCCCACAAGAACCTAATTTTTTTTCAGTTAATAAGTATCTTATGTCCTAATTGCCCAGTTTTAGGTGACACTCAGTTCATGCTAAATATCTATGGCTGTAACTTGCCAGCAAATTAAAGTAAGCCCGAAGATAATTATATGAAGAAGATATTATTGATCACAAAGTATGCAGGTCATGTAATAAAGTCTTTACGCGAGATGAGTCCTCTTGTTAGAGACATCTCTATGTCAACAGAGCGGAATCCTGCTTCTACAGATGTTTTTACCGATTGTTTGCCTCGTTGAGACAAAATGATCTCCCTATGTGCTCTCAGACTGGATTAGTGCTATAAATGCAGTCAAAACCAAAAGCTTAACGTGCAATCAGAAATATGGAAACCTTGACGTATTTAAATGCATCAAACAATAAAGTAAACGAATTTCGAAGTATGCTTAGTGAATAAGTTACTAATATGTCCTTTATTTATTTTTAGTGGAACGTCGTGCGGTGCATCAGATTGCGCTGACGATGAGCAGATCGCTTTAGCGCTCCAAGCGCAAGAATTAGAAGCTAGGCAACAGGCGAGAGGGAAATTCAAGTAAGTTTATTTCATAATGAAATGGTTTAGTGTTATTAATTTTAACCTTCCTTAGCCACGCCTAAGGTAGGCTAATTAACGCGCCCGGATTAGTACAGAAATATTTGAACTGTCGTGAAGGGCGTGCCCTGTGCTCTTCAGTATAAAATACCGCTCGACTTTCACCAAGCGTCGACACGCGATTCCATATCTGCATAACTCAAATTTGTAAATTTGAGTTTACCGTAAGCGTGGTAAATACTGGAAAAATTGAGATGAAGTTGCTGCGGGCGAAAAACATGCAAACTGCGCTAGTGTGATGATAGCATCAACTTTAGTCTAACTTAAAAATTAATTGCCCTCTTGCAGTCGTCAGTCAGTAAATAGATAGACAAATCCCACCTAACCACCCATGGCCTGACCAACCTTCTTGGTTATGCAGGCCGAAGCAGCAGGAGATACGCCCGAAATGGCCTCCACAGCGCGTACTTTCTTGACTCCCTTCAAATTATTCTTTATCTATCTCCTTGTCCCTATGGTCCTTCTCCCCTTTCTGGGGAGGACGTACACGAAACGCGTCGCCATCCCAGCCGTCTCGTGCCCCCTCTGAAGTGGTACCACTGGCTCTAAATTGTACGGTCCTCTTCTATCTTCGCATCGGGTCTATAAAAATTAAGTGAAATATGATTTTTCACGCAGATCCAGTGAAGACCTCATCCACCGGCTATTCGTATGTATAGCGGGCGTGGCCGATCAGCTACAGACTAACTTCGCGGCGGATCTGCGCAACATCCTGAAGGCGGTGTTCCTCATGAACCAGACGCCGGAACCGCCGGAAACGCCGGAAACACCAGAACCGGAGACGAAGGAACCACCGCAGACCATAGAGTATGAGGCGAGCGAGGACCAGGTCATACAGAACGGTGAGTTGTACTCTGTTTTCCGCTCGAAATATTTTAGTTTGCTGGTATCTGATTTATCTATTTATTTAAAGCTTTTATTAAGAGAATCAACATTGGTATCGATTCTGGCAGGATTCTCTAAACTTAAAACTTAATTTAAGGTTAGTCTGTCCTTTTCATTCTGTATTGAGAATGACAGGAATACACTGTTGTCAAATTTAAGTTTAGCTTTAGATAATCATGCCAGAATCGATACCATTGCTTATATAAAAAATTGTGTTCAATTTTAGGGTTCATAATATGAACCCTAAAATGTGAATATTTGAACTGGTCGTAGACCATGGTGAAGCACCCGAAATTATTGCTCAGGACAACTCTTTATGTCTAACTAGCTTCCGCTCGCGAATTCGTCCGCATTAACTTTTTTCAATTCAAATTTTTTTCCGGGATAAAAGTATCCTATGTGTTAATGTAGGTAATAAACTACATACTATAAATATTTTTCCCATTATTAATAAACGAAGAATAAGCTTGCATTTGTCATGGCCCAATCTCCCTATTCCATCCATAGGGAAGGCCTGTGCCCCAGCAGTGGGGACATTAATAGGCTGATGATGATGATGATGAAGCTTGCATTAGTTACTCTAAGTTTTGTCTCTTTTAATTGAATGACACATGGTTTTTAAGTAATATAAACAGAACACGGTGTAACTAGTCTAAGCTTATTTCTCGTTTAAAATATTAGTAAGATGCTTACTCCACCTATATCCACCATTGTTTTTATCCTCAGGAAGTTCATTCGACAGCGTTTACTCGGCCGAAGAAGTATACGCAGACAGCACATCGGACTCCACCGCGTCGGAATCGAACCCGCGACTCGTTCGCCGGAACACGGTGAACGCAGCCACCATGGCCACGGACGAGAGGCAAGCCGCGACCAGCGACAGTAGAAGGAAGTCCGTAGACAACACTGGCAACTTGCAAGCGTCCGTGTCTACAGGCGATCTTACTTACAGGTGAGAGAGAATAGAAGATCGAAAGGACACTAATAGCCTGCGCAGACGAGGGACTTTTGTCTGTCAAATTAGATCGCTTAACGTCCGCAAAAGTACCGCGTACAAAAAGTCCCCCGTACAACCGAGGGCATCAAAAAAACAAAAGTACGCGGGTGTCCCCGAAAAAAATAGAACTCGTGTGACTAGGCGCAGCAAAGCACTCATCGAACTTCGGCTCGTGTTGCGCGCTCGATTCGATTCGAAGGAAAATTCTTTTCTTCTTCTTAAAATTAAATTCATTTACAATACAACATAATCTGAGAATATTTATTTCCATAACCTTTAATGTCTGGGTAACTCTGGCAACTGTAGGAACGACGCTTCCTTTAATGTATGGGCAACAAATGTTCGCACACCGTGTACGTTGAGTCCCTGACATATTTTTCCCGATTCAGGTATTTTTCCTCTGCGAACAAGTCTCTCATCTGCGCAATCCATTAAGGTCCGTGAGTCCTCACATTCTGTTTTACTCGATCGAGCAAACACGTCGGGTAAAAACCACATCACGAGCTTTCGTCCACACATCATCATATCATCAGCCGATGGACGTCTACTGCTGGACATAGGCCTCTAGGGATCTCCAAACGCAACGATCCTGAGCTTTCCACATCCAATGGGTCCTACCGACTCGCTTGATGTCGTCAGTCCACCTGGGAAGGAGTTTACCGACACTGCGCATCCCGGTGCGAAGTCGCCATTGAAACACCTGAGGACACCAACGTCGTCGTCCATACATTCAGCATTTATTACGGTATACGGGAATTATTCGCCAAACCGATCGAGCTGAATAGGCTATTTAACAGTATGAAACATAAAGGACCAATTGTTGACACCTGTATTTAATATGAATGTTAGCAGCGATTTTAACATTCTGGGAAAACTAATTACTTATTAATTTTATAAAAAATCATTAAATAAGAATATTTTTTTTTGTTCTACGGTCACGTGACCGAAAACGCCTAGGATTTGCGAAGTCTAAAATGCCGTCAAACGCTAGTAAACTTCCGGTCAAAGTGACATTACATTGTATCGTTTGACGTTTTAATGCCAGTCTGTGACGTCACATACTAATGAGACGCTATAATGTCCAGAGAAACGTTTCCGCAGCAACTTGAAAATGTAATTTTTGATTCAGTTTTTATTCTACCGAAATCCACAACAGAATGATGAATATCCACTTTTGATAACCAACCATAAGAAAATAAAATGAGGTTGTTTTCCAAAACTTGTCAAATACCTTATTATGTCTGTTCAACAAAGGGGACATATAGTAAGGCTCGCAATTTCACGGGCTCGCAGTCACATTCTTTGATTTGGGACGTAGAAAGATATTCTTAGAGCTAATTTTTTGATCAAAGACGTTGTTATGGCAACGTAATATGCAGTTTTTTAAATAGGGTATTTGACAGTGTTAAAAATAAAGTCTTAATGGTTAGCATCTGTGTTTAGAATGAATATTGGCAGAGGTTTTGACTATTTTTACAAAAAAAATATTCATAATATTACTAAAAAGTAACGAAAAAGATAATAGTTTTCTTATCTATTGTCACGTGACCCAAAACGCTTGGGATTGGCGGAGCCTAAAATGCCGTCACACGCAAGTAAACTTCGGGTTAAAGTGACATTACATTGTATCGTTTGACGTTTTAATAACAGTCGTGTGACGTCACACACTAGGAAGACGCCATATTGTCCAGAGAAACGTTTTCGCGGCAACTTGAAAATGAAGTTTTTGATTTAGTTATTTTTACTGAAATACACAACAGAATGATGAATATCCACTTTTTACGGACTCCATAAACATTAGTCAATAACGTGAGATCGTTTTCTAAAACTTGTCAAATACCTTATTATGTCAGTAAAGGCAACTGCTCAGTTTAAAAGAAAGAAAATGTTTTATTCAGTTTACGCGCCTACCAAGTTCAGTTTAATTGAGCACTGAAAATTTGGTTAAATATTTCTATACAACTTGTGACTTAATAACATTCTATTTAATTCACAATTAAATTTCTTAGAAAATTTCCTTTTTTGACACTGACATAATGTTCATAACAAAAATAAAATAAAATGACACTCTTAGCAAGGAGGTGGCTATACAAACAGGTCATTAAATTAGAAAATATATGTGTATTATTGTTTTAAACTTTCATGGTCTCTATCGTTAAAGCAATTTATGTTGTTTACGGGATTGCTACCGTGTACTGTTTTTAGCGAATCTCCGATATCTCGGTACTGTTGCTTTGCCCGGTAAATAACATCAATTACTATAATATTTGTATTTACGACGTTTCAACTGTCAACCCTATGTTGGTAGTTGCTGGATATTCCATACTTATTGCCATGCGAATGTTGACAATGTTTCGTTCTATATATTTTAATGTTATTCTTCTCAACTCCACTAATACTGTTTCCACTGAAGTGGAGCGGAGACGAGATGTGTATTTTTTGCAATGCGATTGGTATATTATTTCAAGACACTGCTTAGCTCCGCGCAGCTTGGCTTATGTGTAAGCACACGCGTATTTGCGCACGCACCTCTTTTAAAGTATCAGCGTTGATTTTCCTAATGATTTCGTTTCTTTGTGCGAAAACGGCTAATCGATAAAGCTATTCAACAGCTCCGCTCGGCTCAACTCCGTATGCGCCGCACCGCTCCGCCTCGCTCAGCATGCCAACACTCCGCTCTGCCCAGCTAAACTCCGCGCGCTATATATTTTAATGTTATTTAACTCAACTCCACTATGGATTTTCCTTATGACTTCGTTTCTTGGAGCGACAACGGCTTATCGAATAAAGCAATGCAACAGCTCCGCTCGGCTCAACTCCGTAGCGCCGCGCCGCACCGCTCCGCCTCGCTCAGCATGACAACGCTCCGCTCTGCCCAGCTATACTTCGCTCGCTATATTCTTCTCAATTCCACTAAGGATTTTCCTAATGATTTCGTTTCTTGGTGCGACATCGGCTTATCGAATAAAGCAATGCAACAGCTCCGCTCGGCTCAACTCCGTATGCGCCGCACCGCTCCGCCTCGCTTAGCATGAAAACGCTCCAGCTAAACTCCGCGCGCTTATACATTTAAATGTTATTCTTCTCAACTCCACTAATACTGTTTCCACTGAAGTCGAGCGGAGAAGACATGTGTATTTTGAGCAATGCGATTGGTAATTTTTTAAGACATTGCTTAAATTTCGCGGCGATTTCGCCTATGTGTAAAGGCAGGCTTATTTATGCACCTCTTTCAAAGTATCAGTGCTATTTTGCTAAAGATTTCTATTCTTGGTGCGAATATCACTCTTGCAAATAACGTAGATTAAAATTTTGTTGCGAGTCCAGATTATTTTATCATATGGCGTTTATTTAATTGTTGATAATATTATTGGCTATAACTAATATCCAAATGTCGCAGCCAGTCATGAGCTGTAGTGCACCTAGCTGCGACTACCTAATATAATAAAACTATGAACAACAACGCTGTAAAGTTTAAAGCAAATCGGATGGCGTAATATAAAGTTATACAAAAGTGCCCTACATCCAACCGTTCTAAAATTTTCGTGAAATAAAATATCTATCCCGTCTACATATATTATACTCCCGGACACATCTATCGGCATCTCAAATACCTAAAGTATATGTGCACTTCACTAATGTGGCAAAATCTGCGATAGCGACACTAGCGCCTAGCATCGATTCGTAGAACTTAATGCATAGAATTCAGCGTTTTATCTGTCTTTGAATACTATACAGTGATCTGTGATTCAAACCATGGTATTACACGATAGATTTACTCTAAAGAGAGTAAAAATCAACGTGTCGCGTCCTACAAACCACGAACGTGTGGACTACAAAATTCACCACTCGAAAGTTGTGACTTTTGTGGTCCACACATTGATTTTTACTTGCTGTAGAGTAAAACTATCGAGTAGTACCGTATGTGAGTACGTACCAGTACCGCGATCTCGAACCAATATCGAATTTGAATAGTTTGCGAGTCCGAAATGTCATTGTCAAATTTTGTATTGAAACTTGAACAGCAGCGCCACAAAGGACGTGACATTTTATACTCGCAAACGATACGAATTCGATATTGCTTCGTGCTAAGGGAACTGAAGATTAGCATCGAGCCGACTTGATGGAATCAAATAAATGTAATTTCCTTTGCACCTACTCTAACAACCCGTCGAGCTCGACTCGATGCTTGTACGGGTCAATGAAATTGCGAGACTTGCTAAATGTAGCCTCTGTCTCCTATGTAGAACAGACATCATTTGGTTCAATCTAATCGTTTCGGTGAATAATGACCGTTTCGCGCCACCCGATAAATGAATGCTGAATGTGTGGGTGAAAGCCATGCCTTGGTTTTTAATCGACGTGTTTGCTCGACCGAGTAAAACCGTATGTTAGTATGGAATATTAAAAGTTGAGAACAATCTATTCGGAACACGGACATTAAAACGCGAGTAAATCGCGTCGTCTGAACAGGCACTAAGGATACGAAATCCATATTGATTAAGTTCACTATAATTTTTTCGTTTACATTAAGGCGCTCATGTTACCAGTATTCAAATCCATGTATATGGTTTAAAACCTCAATTGCAAGACCGATTAGATTAATCAAAAGTTCAAAGGGAACGTTATTCGACATTTGACATATAGTACTTTTGAGTCAAAATAAAGTTCCCGTTCAAAAATCGCTAGGATTTTTGCATGGGTGAACTTTATTTTAACTCTATAAGGGGTCTATTCCGAAATAACAACCAGTACGTTAGCCAGCGGTAACAAGGGCGGATCCAGCTTTGGCGCCAGGGGGGGGTCATATAGTCGTGGTATATTAAATATTGAAAGTACTTAAATAAAATCCCCCTGGGTTTGGTCCATCTGTACCCAGCCAAGGGGGGGGTCATGACCCCCATGACCCCCCCCCCCCCCTGGATCCGCCCTTGAGCGGTAATGACGTCATGACTTCGACGCCATGTTGCACTGGTGTAGTAGTAGTGTTGTCAATATGGCGTCGAAATCATGACGTCATTACCGCTGGCCAGCGTACTGGTGTATATTTCGGAATACACCCAAGATATATCCAATGTCACTCAGGGATAATGTATTTGGGCCAGTAGTGTTTGAGTTTATTCCTTATAAACGTACAAATGTTTTCTCTTTATAATATTAGTATAGAGAAGCTCGATGGCCCAGGTGGTAAGCGCGTTCGGCTTGCGATCGTGGAAGTTACGCAACTTTCGCAATGGTGGGTCATTGGACGGGTGACCAAAAATTATTATTCTGAACTCCTACGTGCTTTCGTGCTACGTGCCTTCCGACGTTAAGCCGGTTGGTCTCGGCTGCCGTTATCACCTAAGAATACGCATTGCCAGTCTATTCGCTGACCTTTTTGTCATTTACAGTATTGTGTTGTCATTAACTAAAAAGAAAATTGCAAACCTACCGATGTTTTTCAGTACAAGTATCTTAGTGGCGTTATAGTAAAGCAGTAGTGGATCTGTCAAAGACCGTTAGAGAACGTAAACATTAGAAACCTATTGGGTCCGCGTGGTGGGTCAGTGCCTAATCTAACTCACCAATAGGAAAGGCCTGTGCCGCAGCAGTGGGGATATTAATAGGCTGATGATGATAGATAGATAGAAGATATATGTGTCGATCGTTTCTCTGCAGGGACAGAGAGGAACGTCGCTCCGCATCTCCCGGAGTGGAGCGCGCGCCCGAATGGGTGCCGGATATAGCCGCGCCCGCTTGCATGCGATGCTCTGCTCACTTCACGGCCTTTAGACGGCGCCACCATTGCAGGAACTGTGGTATGTTTATTTTATAATATGGACTTTTTTATTTAGCACTTATTTATTATTTTTACGACATATTTGTACAAAATTGTCGATACCAGCTCCTCCAACGTGAATTGACCCTACAATTTTATTTTCTTATAACTAATTATTACACAAACATTTTGTTACTACATATATTGCTAAGCACACCAGCCTAGATACTAGACGGCGATGTTCGAGGGTTTGAAGCCGCCTTTTTTATCGCCTATGAGTTTCCTAGCTCGTCTGTCAATAGCTCCCAACGCTTCAAGCTAGTTGCAGGCGGATCCATACCACAGTTGGGAGCAGTATTCCAGTAGATAGAACTTGTGCTGCATAAAGATCCAGAGAGAATACCTAATTTTTTTTTGACGCAGCCATAGAGAAGCTATTTAAAACTACAGAAGTTAAGGTTAGATGACAAATCCTTGACCTACATACATCAGCTTATGCAAAAGCGGTAGTAATCAAGCATATTGCCCGACTGATGGTAAGTGGTCACCATAGCCTATCGACGTTTGTGGTACCAAAAATATCACACTTCCTACCCTGACCCAATTATTGCCCTGGAACCATACCGACAGAAACACAATACCACCGAAAGGTAGTGTAACTTTGGTCTCCTGCACAGTGTAGCTTACTTCCCCAGACGGAGCTCAAACTCAGGCGAAGAAAATCTTAAATGAAATGAAAAGAAACTTTATTCAAGTTGATCGTTCTTATATTTTTTTTTACTACCACCTGTTCAGGACATTTTTTTTACTGACAAGAATAACAGGCGAATGCAACTTCTCAGATTTTTATGAAGAAACGACATTTACATACAAGTATGTCGTTTCATTACCAATACATTATTATAATTAGGTACATTCTTTGTGTATTACACAGATCAAGAATATTATATTATGATAGATAACTTTATTGAGCAAAGGATGGGAATATAGGTGTTATTCCCAGACATTTCGATCGAATTGATAGTATCCTCTGCTCATTAGTGTATTTTTAACTCAAGTGTTAATTTTATGCATAGGAAGATCGGCAATACTAGAAGGTACTTTAAAAAGTTATGCATTTCCCCAAGAGTTAACGTTGTGTTTTTCTTAAGTTCTCTTCTTGTAAACATTGGAATAGCAAGTTCATGTTTGTTTCTAGTATTGAAGTTATGAATATATTTACTGTAATATTTATGTACATAATTCATGTTTTCATATATGTATTGTCCAGCCAGTGTTAAGATGTTGATTTCTTTAAACATATACTAAGGGAATCCCTTGACCGTAAGTTGTATATGGCCCTAACTGCTCGTTTCTGTAATATAAAAATTGATTCATATTCGCAGCTGATGCCCACAACAAGAAGCTATAAGACAACACTATGAAAATAACTAAAGTAGATAAGCCTTGCTGTTTCAGTATCAGTCAGAAGCCTAATTTTTTACAGCGTATGCTGATGAGCTTAGTCTGCCGGATGATAAAGTGTCAATATGAGTATCCCATTGTAATCTCGAATCTAATGTTATCTATCTATATACTTATAATAAATCTGTAGAGATGTCAATTCTGTACATGAAATATATTTTTAAAATAACTATCAGGGGGTGATTAGTGATCGATACTGATGCCAAAAATGCAATCAGTAAATTTTTTGTCTGTCTGTCTGTCTGTGTGTATGTTCCTTATAGAAACAAAAACTACTCGACGGATATTAACGAAACTTGGTACAATTATTCTTCATACTCCTGGGCAGGTTATAGTATACTTTTCATCACGCTACAATCAGTAGGAGCAGAGTAGTGAAGGGAAATGTTGGGAAAACGGGAGAAGTTACTCCATTTTTTAAGCTTCCGTCGCGTGTGCAGCCTTAATGATTAAAGTTACATAGAAATCATGTATGACGGAAATATTCTACATAAAATTGTCTAAAAAATATCCCGCAACAGCATATGTCTATCTTTTATGGTTGACTCACAATAACACGTGTAACTCCCGATAGCTTAGCAGTTCGGAGCATTCTGATCATATTTGTTTACTCTTACGTTTATAATACTCGGTATAGAAACACCAAACTTATACATGAAATAAGCCATCGCGCCGTCGCACGTGAATACTGAATCATGATATAAGGATTATTTTTGTGTAACGGTTGCCGCGCTCGACACGGGTCGCGGCGGCGGTAGGGTATCAAAAGGCGGGAGGTCCGAGAGCGAGCTGTATAAATCTGTTTTCTGCGTCGCTCCCCCCCCTGGGGGACGATCGCTTCCGATGAAGCCTTAGAGGCCTTCCCGGCCAGAGGCAGCCCCTACGGGTGTTTTTTTGTCAGTACGAGTCTGACATAACCTTGCAGCCGGCTGTAGGGGATACCCTAAGAAATCCTCATGGATACATGAGGATTTCTCATCTGCTCCCCCGCCTGGGAGATCGAAACCGTGCTTATCAGCGCGACTTTTAGTCTTTAAATAGTTTATTTGAATTTCTTTTGTTGTTTTTTTGTAAAACAGGTATTAGTTGTTTTGGTAGTGTTTAAATATTCGTTCAAAGTGTAATTTAATCATATAGGATGAATGTACGATGGCCCATCGAAAAGGAATAGAAGCGGTAGACAGAACTTTAAGAGATATAAGACAAAATGATCGACCCATGGGCGGTATCACAGTTTTATTTTGTAGTGATTTCCGACAAACCTTAACGGTAATACCACGGGGAACCCGAGCTGCTGAGGTTAGTGCTTGCCTGAAAAGCTCTTATTTGTGGCGTGATAAACAATCGGTGCATTTGACTATAAACATGCGAGTGAGAACTGTAGATAACCCGGATGATCGTGAATTTTCTGATATATTATTAAAGAAAATACCTTCACCAAAGATACCTATCCACTGCTACACCAAGGAAAACTTATTCTGACGCCTGAGTTATGTTGTATAGTGCAATCCCAACAACATCTTACATCGTCAGTTTACGGTGACGTAACAAATATATTAAATAAGAACAATTCTTGGCTATGCGAAAGGTCCATTTTAACTCCTCGCAATGATCAGGCATCTGAGATTAATAATAAAATACTGTCGAATATCCAGGGGGAAAGCAAAGTTTATAGTTCAATAAATAGAATAGCCGATGAACAAGAAGCCACTAATTACCCGATAGAATTTTTAAATTCTTTAAATATGCCCGTACTTCCTTCTCATGAAATTTGTTTAAAAATTGGCATTCCGATTATTCTGCTCCGAAATTTAAGACCACCACTGCAATGGAACTCGGCTTAAAGTAACCCAGTTGCAACAAAATGTAATCGAGGCTCTAATTTTAATAGGTTGCGGTGCAGGAGAAACCATCTTTATTCCCAGAATTCCCATAATACCAAATAATTTTCCATTCCAATTTAAAAGAACGCAATTCCCAGTATCGGTGTGTTATGCAATGACAATAAATAAGGCTCAAGGGCAGAGCTTTCGTGTTGTTGGGAGTAGATCTCGGTGTCAGTTGTTTTTCACATGGTCAGTTATGTCGGTCTTTCCCGGGTTAGCAGTCCTAGAATTTTTTATGTTCACGTTCCGGACGGGTCAAATTTCAACGTAGTCTACCCGGAAGCTTTGCGCTGAAGTATTTTCATTCTATATGTACTTAAGACTCATGTGAAAGCGATCTAAACAATATTACCAATACATTAACATAATAACATACAAGGAGTTACACGCTGATGGTCTCGGGGCACAGTGATAATAATAATATTCTGCGGTTCCTTATTGTGATATTTTTAACAGTATTATATTTCCCTACTAAAATACGAAAGTTAATCTGTCTGTCACATCAAAACCACGGAACCCTGAGGAAGGACATATGCTACTTTTTTACGAAAAACGACGATAACGCGGACGAAGTCGCGGGCAAAAGCTAGTACCTAATAAATCTTGTGCTTTCCATTAAAGATACTACCTCACCATTAATACTCAACGGTGTATCAACATGTCTTACATTTGGTTGAGAAAATATTATGAATTTAGTTTTCTTTGAGTTTGAGGAGAGGTTATTTAATGTAAACCATTGTACTATTTTTTAAAGTGCATCGTCTGAAAAGTTGCTGCCTCTGTCAACCTTAAAAACTAAAGAAGTATTAACTGCAAATAGCACTCTTTCACAAAAAAATATTTGGTTAATAGGGAAGATCATTAATATAATTAGAAACAACGAAGGACCCAATATTTATCCCTGTAGAACACCCATGACTACAGGGGCTCCAGCAGACTCAGTTTTTTTAATGACAACTTTTTGTACTCGATCAGATATATGATTTGATACGGCTAATTGATTTAACAGAGACACAATAATGTACCAATTTCTTTAATAAAGCTTCGTGGCTAACGCCATCGGATGCTTTGTAGAGAACAAATAACAATCCAATTGCATCTTTCTTACTCTCCCAAATATGTTTTAGAAATGTAGTTCCAGCATCAGTAATGGTTTCGCTTTTGGTGAATCCAAACTGGTTGTGATGTATTATTTACAAAAGAAAGTTGGATGACAACCGAGTAAAAAGAATACTCTCAAAACATTTACTTAATGCTGGTAATAAAACAATTAATTTAAAACAATATAGAAATTGGGCTAAAGTAAGTGGGGTCATTTTTTCTGCTATGTCCTACCTCCCCTTGTTATCTGTTCACTTTTCTCACTCTCCCCCAGGTAAAGTGTTCTGCGCGTCGTGCTCGTCGAACTCGATCCCGCTCCCCCGCTTCGGTCAGCTGAAGCCGGTACGAGTGTGCGACGAGTGTTTCCGGCACATCGCCGCCGACTGCCGCCGGGCGCCGCACAGGTGCTAGCCTCCCGCTCACTCGTTCAATCGTACACTCACTCGTTCATACGGTCACTTATCCATACGTTCGACAGATTTATCCCGTAGACATAGAGACTGGTATTAGCGTTCTCCAACCAGCTTCGGTTAGCTGAAGCCGGTGCGAGTGTGCGACGAGTGCTTTCGGCACATCACCGCCGACTGCCGCCGCGCGCCGCACCTGTGCTAGCTTGCCTTTCACTCGTTCAACCGTACACTCACTCGTTCATACGTTCATCAGCTATCCATTTATCTCGTAGACAAAGAATGGTATAGTGCGACAAGGATCTTTATGAATATAGCGAAAATTGGAACTAACGCCGCCGCCTTTGTAAACGTCATATTTTGTATGTTATTTACGTAGACAATAGCTACCCGTAGAACTGTCACCACATTCATAAAGATCCTTGTCGCACTGTATTATGCCGGAATACGCAGTGCTCCATACCCAACTCTGAAGTAAAACAAAGCTTGACTGAGCAGATAAGTGTGAGAAAGTGTGAAGCAATATGGCGAGTCATGGTTCGTCTGCGTATTGTTTTTTTTCCTCTTTTTCTAGTTGTCGATTCTATGCGAGTGTCGATTAGTCTATTCTCAGCTGAGCTCAGTCTATGCCCCGCACGCATAGACAATGCACTGAGCTACACTCGCATGAATTGGACATTACAAGAAAGAAAGCGATGATGCAGCCAACAATTATACGAACTATTTGCATTGCGCTTCGTCTCTGAAATATCTACTCAGTTTGTCAGGGAACGCTCAGTCCATTCTCGGTGACTCTGGTGTATCCTTACAGTCAAAAGCATTGTCGTTTATGCTATTCGTTGCGTGTTCCGTTGTATCAGCACTCGCTAAACTTAATTTTACAACCGCACTAAGTGACGTATTGTCTTTTTCTCCTCCTCCAAATTCCAAAAACGATTTTCAGCCACAGGTAGTTATAATAGATGCAACTTACGACACATATAACAGAATTCGTTTATGAAGATATTTTACCTTTGGCATATTAAAATAATTCTTGTGTCTTAATGTTCCAAGTATGGTTATGGTCTAACAATCCTTATTTCAACCATACATTAATAGTGAGTTCCGTATTCAATTTGCGAGTGCTATTAAAACGAGCATGTTGACGTATTACATATACGCTGCTGGTTTTCACTGCAGTTTAACCAAAGTCAGCTGTTTTTTTCAAGCGATGTTTTATCAAGCTGACGGTCAGGACGATTGTAAGTGCTGACGAATGTAATAGGACAGAATATAAATTTTATTATAGATATTTGATACTCAAATCTCATTTAATAAAACTGTTCAACTTTTAACTCACCTTCCCCGTACCAAATCCATATTCTCCCGTCCATCATAGTCTTTGTTATAGAAACTGAAATATATTAAAATCATTTGTTCATTGACCACTCATTCATTCATAACTATGTTAGTGTATAATAAAATACTTTGTTATAATATAAGTAAATAAATCCCTTTTCTATTTTGTAGTAAAAGAATTTTAAACCGCTCTTTCGTCTTATCGTTGTTACTATTGAATTTTGTAAACAAATTGGATTTTCTATATAATACCTAGTACCTTGCTAATACAGTACAAATTCCATATTGTTAACCTTGATATTTTACGGTTATAATGTCACTCTAGTAAATTTGTTAATACTGTTTTAATTGAATGTTGTGAGCTCGCAATAGGTTTGAAATAGTTCGTCGAAGAAGGTTTGGGGAAATGTGTGCGATCGCGCTATTTTAGACCCCCAAAATTCTTTGTCACGCATCTCACTGTGAAAATAAACTTAATCCGCCTCAATAATATTGCCCCTTTGTTTTTATTTCTAACAAAACCTTGAAGACGCTAGAATGAATAATAATACTTCCTCCTAACTATGTATTAATTACGATGTTTTAAAATCTTACCCTTTCTATTATTCATATATTGCAAATAAGCAACTTTATAATAAACTTAATTATATTTAAATGTACGAACGAAGATGGGAAAATGGTTCAATATTATAAGTCACTATTTGCAATGTCTGAAGTTACGTTGGAAATATCTCGTTTATAAATTAATTTCGTCCACATAATATTTTAAACTACGTTTATTGCGTGATATTCAAATGTTATTCCAATAATAAATTTTAATGTTAGATTATCATCTAGAGTAATTTTTAAGATGTTACGAAATATTATTTTCCACAATGACTGATGTAATCTTTATATATGACAAGTTTATTTTTAAGTAGCTCTCTAAAGTTTTATGTTGTTCTATATAATTGTGAAGATTTGTGTTGAATACCTTTTAATTAAATAAATTAACTTGTCCAATTAAAATTACATTATATTACCCTTAATGGTCGAAAAAAATATTGTTACAGACGGATAATATTTAGCGGTTTCCTAAAACAAAATTATCATTTTGACGAATGGCATTTGTTAAACTGAGTAATTCTTTTGATTTGCAGGTAAGTTTTTAGAAACGAGCGCTATATTCGTAATTACGAAAAGGAGTAAGGATTAAAAACACACAATATTGCTATATTCATAAATATAATGTTATCTATAACAATCGTTGCCGTTGCCTCTAAAATTACAAAAGCCCGAGACTATTGTGTATAAAAGAATGGAATTATTCGAATATTAATTAAAATCTAAAATTAGTACTTTTCACATTATTAAGAAATGATTTTAAAGGGCTTTAATGCTCACAATAGAACAAAGTTGATGATAATCTTACACTTGGTAGAGTAATCCAGTAATTGGCGTTAGCATGCCTGTCAAAATTCTATTCAGTGTGTACAAATCCGGCATCTTAGGTATTCAACTGAAGGGTTAATTTCAAAGAAATCTTAACTTTAAATCAGTGTTTAAAGGCTTATTTTAATCATAATAATGAACGAGTTAAAAGTTATTCTACACATTTCTTCTTTGGTCCAAATCGACATTATAGTTTTTTACTTTATTTATCCAAATAGGATATATACTTAAAAAAGCTTTACAAGTAGTGCTTTCAGATTTAAACAAAATTGTGTAGTAATTCAATGTAGCGAGGCCGTTATTGGAATTATAATATCCTATTTGGAAATTGGTTACTTTGGAACTATAAATTATGTACAACTCAATGCTAATGTGTTTAATTTACTTTTGCCTATATGTTGATGAGTAAAGGTTATATAAACATGTAGTGTTAGTAATAGTTCTACTTTATTACATTATGGTAACAAAGTTTATATTCTGTAACCTTTTTTGTATTTTAATAGGGACGATGATGGGGTAAAGTAAATGAAGTAGATTATTAAAAATTAATGGAAACTTATTTTTCTTTTGTCAATCAACCAAAAATTTACAAAGATAATGCGCGGCATAGTTTGCGAATGGGGACTCGTAAAACACTTTTAAGTAGGAATCGTACCAAGAGGTGACGTTATGCGACATTTCAAATCAATGTATCTTTGTAAGCTTTTGAATAAGTGTATAAAGGAAAAAAGACGTCTCCAATATTATTTTGTTAAATCAACCTGCGAGACGAAGAAAGAGATTTATTCATCAACCCTATTCCAAAATAACCTATCGTTATTGTTGACACCACTAATGATAAATTCTTTGAGTGGAGCAAGTGACGTATTCGCCCCAATATATATATATATACTTTTGCCTAGATAATTAGATAGCGACGTTCAAATTAATGAATTCTATATTTTAAGAATAACTACTATTATGACGGATGTTTATATTTTTTAACATTAAACTACAAAAAATAAAAATAAATACCTTTTTCAAAATATGTACCATTTAAATGTTAATGAAAGTAAGTTTTAAAAGATTCCATAGTTTTTATATCCATCTGTAGAGATAAAGGTAGTTTTTGTTGTAATATTGTTATGTGTAAATTTTGTAAAGATATATATAAATAAAGTACTCAATATGTATTTCTTATATCATAGTATCTTTGTATATTTTAAATAGTATAAGTGATTTGTCTTTGACGTGGTTGAATTGATTTATTCAACATCATTGCGTATTCAAGTGATAAACCGTTACATAAATGTTTGGAGCGTGTAAATAAATGTCAGATTTATTATGTAACATGGGTGGTTTGAATTCATGAATAATCGTCTTGATAAAATAATTATCCCCTTTCTTATGACACTATTCTTTGTTATTCATTTTTATACCAGTGCCCCATAGACATCTTATAGTGTACCACAAATATATATACGAATAATTCGTACTATTAGTGAATGAATTAAACACAGGATTGGTCATAGAAAGGCATAGAAAAAGCATTGACTTTAAGTTATTATGCGATACACTAGCTTTCTTATTGTATTTTATTCAGGGATGGCAATTAACTGTTACACTTATTAAAGTAACATATTGGCTGATTCTATTGTTATCCTAAGGATATGCAGAAAAGCAAGATCAGAAAGTTTAAATTATACGCCAAATAATACCTACCTCACACATTGGTTACTTACTACTGAAAAACTAGAGTTACAAAGATTATTTGAAATTCACCTTCAATAGGTACACTACAGAAACAAAGCTAACGCCTCAATAAGCTTCTTAAATTTTCTGTAGCATTCCTCTTCCTTGAATATCGATATCCACTCTTGTATTTCAATATACTTCTCACTTATCGGTACTATCGAATTCAAAGAAGAAACTGTCGCCACAAGACAGGTCAGCTACTGTCAAACTATCAGTCGCTATATACTTGGTCTGTTCAAGATACTTTTCTGCTATATCATATGCTTCTTCTATGCTCTTTACATGCAACTCTGTCAAACCTTTCGATTTCCCTTGAATGATATCGTAAATCACATTAAGGAGTCGTGGAAAAAGTATCGTTGCGTCAAACTAAAGATGTTGATCGATAGTGCACCTTAGAGTTAAAACGTTAGGGTACAAATCGGTTTTGCCGAGTTTCGAACAGAGGTAAGGAAGAATCGCGTGTCTATCTACGATTCTGTAGTCGTCGTCTTCTAACATTGGTATTGTGTGGAGTGGTTTTTTCTCCAAGTATTCTTGTTTGTAGTGGTCTCTTGTAGGCAAGTACACTTCCTTAAATTGAACCTGAATGCCTAGTATTTCTATGAGCATCAGGGTGGCTCTTATCGGTGGGCTCTCGTTCGAGCCGTATAATAATAAGGTCAATTGGAAACTCTGCTCCCACCTGTTCTGTTGAATTGTTGTGTCGGCACAGGCGCAGAACAACTGGTATTTTTTTTTACCATTAGTTCTGTGAACGGAACAAATGCGACTTGAATTCCCTGTAGTACTGTTCACGAACAAACTACTTCTCCATGGAGTTTGCTATCAATTATCAAGAACTGGCCACTTGAGGTAAGTATCTCTTCTTTGTTTCCTGATGACAACGTCAAAACAGCCAATCGAAGGACAATTCAGCAGGTTAAAAACGACGCTATGATCCGAGTGTACCTAATGCAACTACTTAACGGTGGAATTGGGATACCTTTGTTTTTAGAGAAACTTCGTTATTTTTTTTTAATCCTTAATTGTAAGTGAAGCTGCATTATTACATATTTGTGTGAAAGTAAACTGTTTACGTTCACTGGTCTTATCCATCGACACTACGTACCAAAATATTTGAGATTGAAGAAGGGTGTAAAACATAGTCTTATAAATCACAGAACTAATGGTAAAAAAATCTCAGTAGTTCTGCCGACAGAACTATTCAACAGAATAGGTGGAAGCAGAGGTTTTTGAACAGGTAAAAAAGTTTATGAATTATATCTTACGACGTCAGGTTTTCGTATCTTAAATGATTTGATTTTTACTTCGATTTCAGACATTTTTAAAAGGTTAAACAATTCTGTGGCTAAACCTTTAGTGAAACAACACACAAATAACACTTCTAAGCATCAGATTGTTTCTTATCAAATAGTTGTAAATTCTTATCTGTATTTTATTTTGTCTTACATTCAATACGTAAAGTTATTTACGCTGTCTTAACTGCGGCGTATTATTTTTTATTAAACACAGTAATAATTATTGTTATTGTTTTACATTTGCTACGACTAAACAGTTCAAGTTTTTATGTTTTGAAAATATTAAAAATTCGCAAAATTCAACAAAAAACGAAAGGCCACGATAAGGGTATAAAAAATATTCTGTGGGCTAAATTGAGGATGCGATGGAGAAACGTAACGTAACCTATCAATAGTGCCAACATTCCCTAATTTAGGACCAACTACCGAGCGACGATAGGACGCTCCTTTGATGCTCAGCAATCTGCCTTTCTGCAAATGAAATTGTCATTTATATTCAATTTATATAAAACACTAGCGGCCCGCCCTCGCTTCGCTTCGGTGTAGAGCTGGTATAGACTACAGTTTTTTGTTCTCAGGCTTGTATTATACATAATGACATTCATTCTTATTATACCTGCATGCAAAGTCTCAGCCCGATCGGTTTAAAATTGACAAAGTTTCATACAAACTTTCATTCCCTATTTTATCCCCTTGGGGGTAGAATTGATCAAAATCCTTTCTTACTGGATGCCTACGTCATAACATCTACCTGCATGCCTCAGCCCGATCCGTCCAGTGGTTTGGGCTGCGCGTTGATAGATCACTATGTCAGTCAGTCACCTTTGGGGTTTGCGACAGGTTGGTCACAATACTGCTAATCAATACTAAGAGATAATATTGTATATATAAAATATGATATGATGAGTGATAAAGTTCGTTTGAGGGGCCACACCTGTCAACCTGCCTATACTGAAAGTTTCTATATTCTGATAATTCTGACTCAAGATAAGTGTGTTATTTTTAAAAGAATATCCCCTCGCAATTAATGCATTTTTGCATTCTCTGAAACTATTGTATATAACATTTAAATCAGTCTTTCTTTGGGACCTCTTTAATTAATACAGGGCCATATTTACCCTAGAGCTAAAAGGGCCATAGCTCGGGTGGACAAGCTACACGGCCTGCCACGGCAGCCATATAAATGCATTCTTTACTGACCTCTATTTTGATTTGATTTAGATTGGGCCACGCCGTCAGATTTTAAAATACGCCCTTGCTCTTGCCAATGCTCTTAAATCGTGTGCCTGTAAGTTTGACTTTATTTTTTGGAAACAAACAAGAAGTCATAGAGTCCGAGGTTTGGGAAGGCGGATGCATCATTAGTTCCACATAAGAATTCTTCAAATAAGTTTACCTTAGCGGAATGTGAGGATGCGTTCTCGTGGTGAAGGAGGACATTTGCTTCGAAGACGCTTTTTAATGAATAATTTTTTTCGCTGGTTCAGTTAACTTTAAAGAGGAAAACATATTAATCCCTTGGTACAGTTTCCAGGACATAAGAAAATGTATTTATTCTATGGTACAGTACCAGGTGGGTATTTATTTCGTTGTCTGGTTTACTGTGTTACGGTAAGAAATTTAAACCATGGTTCAGTCAACCGGACTATCCCAAACTACTGCGGACTATAAAAGCCAGACATGACTCAATTTTCTAAAAAAAATCATTATAAATACAATAATACTAAATTAATAATTTATTAATTCTAGTTATAATTTTTATTATTTTTAAAGCATGTAACTGCTTGATGTTTAAATCTAAAGAAAATATAACTAGAAAAAATTCCACGCGGACCAGGCAGCAGACGGGACTCGAACCCGCACCCTTCGTAATCCGGGCGAATGCACTGACCAATTATGCTACCGCGGCCCTCACGGACCGCGTCGAAATTCTTTCTAGCTATTCTTAAGCTGCAAGGCAGCGCCATCTCTTCGCTTCGCCGTCTGCTGCCTGGTCCGCGTGGAATTTTTTCTAGTTATATTTTCTTTAGATTATTAATTCTACTTAATATTTTTCAACTATCATCAAGGTATTGTTCTACGATGCTGGATTGGGAATGAAAGAAAAACAGAACAAATTGTATGCTGATTTTATAGTGCAGATAGTGAAACCAAAATTCTATTTTATAAATCAGGTATCTACCTATAACTAAACGGAAAAACAAGAAACAAACTTTTCCTTTCATGCAATAACTTATGGGTGCTCGCTCATTGAATGTCCAAATCATAATAAAATAAGCTTGACGTCACACTGCGAATCGACCCAGCCACGGATGGCGGAGCCCTTTGAAACTGTTCGCATGTGATAACATTGGAAATCGATATTAAAGACGGCTATCTGAGTGCCTACCTATTTCCTACTTTATGGTATGGTGTTGATTTTCTAACATGAAGTTATATATCTATGTGGAGGGAGCACTTAGAACAAAAAAAACGAGTGTGCTTATAACCACACGACTGAAGTGAAACTTCTTTACCTCCATCTGTGTCATCATCATCTATATGTGTACAATATATACATGTATGTACATATACATTTTTCATTTACTTGCTATTAGAGAAAGAGAGGAAGAAAATGTACGCGCGCACTGCTTTCTCTTGCTTATATCCCACACTCAACTCCCATTCGCCTCGGCCGAACATACATTTCGTAACTCTTAACACATTCGCCAGCTTACCCCCCAAGTCAAGCGTGCGTAAAGAAGTTTTACTTCAAAATGTGAAGACAATTTCATAGACATGTTAAATTAAAGAGTCCCAAATAAAGAGATTGAAGAATTTTGAGCGAAAATGAAGCAGAAGTATTTATTTTTTCGACAAATTATTCTTAGCTTACTGTTCGTGTAAGTTTAGAATAAAAAGAGGCATATATTTTATACAGTTTTATTTAATAAATTTAGGGCTTCTCTCAAAAGTAATCTGTCGAAGTTAAGACATATACTTGAATATATAATATAAAAGAATACTTAAATAATATAAAATATTTTACGCAATCATAAAATAGAATTTTTAACGTAAGAAATATTGTTGTTCGTAAATGATTTTGAAAAATAATAGTTTTTGTGTATTATTTGGGAAAAGTACCTACTGTAAAAGCCGTGACCACAACTTTTTTTTTTGGCCATCAATGCCTGTTGCTGGCCCCTGCAGTAATATACTATTTTTATCTTGGCGCATTTTAGATATGCAGTCCCATTATTAATTACAACCCCATTATTAATTACAACTCATTACAAATTATATAAAAGAAATGAATTTTTTATACCAAAGTATAAGTTATAGGTATAGTTTAATGGTTAGAGTTCAACGTGTAGGTACGTTAAAATGTCACGTTTTAATCAACGTAGATATTCAATATGGAAAGAATTTAACGAACGGTAAGTTAGTTTTCATTCGAATCGTGCTTCAGTCACCGTGAAATTTACGACTCCTGCCTACTTTACTAAAATTCATATGAAATGTTCACTTGAAATAATGGTAGCAATAAAAATTGACTGTGTTTTTCTAATTGTAATTGCGAGTATTTTACAACGTGAGTTAGCTTTAAATTATACTTATAGTCACGGAATATATTAATTAGCGTTAAACACACTTTCGTTGAAATGTATACTTGTTCAACAAGTTTACTGAAATTTTATCTGAATTTGCGCGCTCACAAATTTCAACTCAACTCGATAACTTGATCAGGCTTGCGGCAGTTCATAAGAAACTGTCACTCTAGGAGCAGAAAATAGCGGATTTGAGTTCCGTCTTTCACATCTCAAACAATTTATCTCCTATATTATAGGTATATAATATTGTTTCGTGTCAGGGCGGGCTTCGAAATTATAACGCCAGTTTACGCTTGCTTTATTAACCCCACAGTAATCACACAATATTTATAGGCCATGCCTTTGAAAATGGTAAACGTGAAAAAAACAATACAAGATGATACCCAATTCAAAAGGAAGAGAACACTTTAAAAAGGGGATAAATAATTTACGGGTGATTTGAGGTCCAGGAGCCCCCACACCCACCTCCTGGACCCGTTATGACTAGCGACAAAAATTCAACTTTTTTAAAGAATGTATAACTACTTTTTTCACAAACCCTTAGAATATTTAATATGAAAAATGATAATAGCAGACTTTGGATTTTTATTATGGCCCCAAAAAAAAATTTATTCAAATTCGTGGAAACTTACGTTTATACTTACTTACCTACTTATATCCCAAAAAGTCTTAAACATTTTTAAAGAATACCAATGTCCCATCAAAATATTGCTTAAAAAGTTGGCGCGCTTTTTGTTCTTTGGAACCTCTACTTTCTGATGGTATACAAAAATACATATACATATACAAATATATATATATATATATATATATATATATATATATATATATATATATATATATATATTACTATGAAGTTTTTCGCAGAAAATGCAAATGCATCGTCACGATTCTCGACCTTTTAACGGAGAAAAACGGACTATCGCGATTTTCGGGAGAACTGCATCTCCTATTGAAAATATTTCAATGGCAAAATAGGTAATTGAATGATCTACAACTTTTGCATTTAGTGTGTCTGTCTGTTACCTCTTCACGCTTAAACCGGTGCACAGATTTAGAATCAATTTAGGATTATTTAAAGGACATAGGATAGTTGTTATCCCAGAAATCATCCTTTATGGGTGTGAAAAGAGGAGCAGAAGTTTGCAGGATCAGATACCAATTTTTCGACGCAGACGAAGTCCCGGGGCACGCACTAGTAAATTATAAGTAAGTACTTAATATACATAATAAAATTGTTTTTTTTGCAGTATCAAAAACACAGCGTAGGATCTCCGCCGGCCATCCAGTACAAACTGACAAAGGATATGTTGTACGTACCTTTTCTATGAGGATAAGGTTTTTGCAGCATCCAGTAACTTTCGCAAAGGCCTTTCCTTGGATGGCTACACGAGCAGCTACACATGCTAGCAATCCAGCTATTAACTATGATATTAGTGACCATGAAAGTTTTTTTTATGTTTATGCAGGCAAACGAGCTGACATTTCGGCTGATAGCAAGTGGATAGTTTCCGGACCAATACGACCCAAGAACCTTAAAAAAAGAGCGTACTCCTTCCTTAAAGGCCGGCATCGCATTTGTGATACTCCTTCCTGGTGTTGCAAGTGTCAATGGGCAACGGTGATCACTTACCATCAGGTGAGCCATCTGCTCGTATGCCCCCTATAACATAAAAAAAAAAGTGGTCACTGCCACCCATGGACACTTGCTGCACCAAGGTTTATCCGCCTGTTGAAAACCGTCATATCATAGCTCACAGAAAAAAGTATAAAAAAATGAGTGTGCTTATGACCACACGACTAAAGTAAAACTTCTCTAGCTCCATATGTACTTATCACTACATAGTGTAAAGCAAAGTCGCTTCCCGCTGTCTGTCCCTATGTCCCTATGTATGCTTAGATGTTTAAAACTACGCAACGGACTTTGATGCGTTTTTTTTAATAGACAGAGTGATTCAAGAGGAAGGTTTATATGTAATACTAGCTTTAGCCTGCGACTTCGTCCGTAAAAAGTAGCATATGTCCTTCCTCAGGGTTCCGTGGTTTTGATGTGACAGACAGATTAACTTTTGTATTTTAGTAGGGAAATATAATATGTCAATCCACAATACTGTTAAAAATATCGCAATAAGGAACCACACTATTGTGCCCCGAGATCATCAGCGTGTAACTCCTTGTATGTTATTACGTTAATGTATTGGTAATATTGTTTAGATCACTTTCACATGAGGCTTAAGTACATATAGAATGAAAATACTTCAGCGCAAAGCTTCCGGGTAAACTACGTTGAAAGTTGACCCGTCCGGCACGTGAACATAAAGATTTCTAGAACGCTCTGGAAAGAGCGACATATAACTGACCATGTGAAAAACAACTGACACCGAGATCTACTATAGCAACACGAAAAGTCTGCCCTTGAGCCTTATTTATTGTCATTGCATAACACACCGATACTGGGAATTGCGTTCTTTTAAATTGGAATGGAAAATTATTTGGTATCATGGGAATTCTGGGAGTAAAGATGGTTTCTCCTGCACCGCAACCTATTGAAATTTGAACCTCGATTACATTTTGTTGCAACTGGGTTACTTTAAGCCGAGTTCCATTGCAAAGTTGTGGTGGTCTTAAATTTCGGAGCAGAATCATCGGAATGCCAATTTTTAAACAAATTTCATGAGAAGGAAGTCCGGGCATATTTAAACAATTTAAAAATTCTATCGGGTAATTAGTGGCTTCTTGTTCATCGGTCATTCTATTTATTGAACTATAAACGTTGCTTTCCCCCTGGATATTCGACAGTATTTTATTATTAATCTCAGATGCCTGGTCATTGCGAGGAGTTAAAATCGACCTTTCGCATAGCCAAGAATTGTCCTTATTTAATATATTTGTTACGTCACCGTAAACTGACGATATAAGATGTTGTTGGGATTGCACTATACAACATAACTCAGGCGTCAGAATAAGTTTTCCTTGGTGTAGCAGTGGAAAGGTATCTTTGGTGAAGGTATTTTCTTTAATAATATATCAGAAAATTCACGATCATCCGGGTTATCTACAGTTCTCACTCGCATGTTTATAGTCAAATGCACCGATTGTATATCACGCTACAAATAAGAGCTTTTCAGGCACGCCTTAACCTCATCAGCTCGGGTTCCCCGTGGTATTACCGGTAAGGTTTGTCGGAAATCACCACAAAATAAAACTGTGATACCGCCCATTGGTCGATCATTTTGTCTTATATCCCTTAAAGTTCTGTCTACCGGTTCTACTCCTTTTCGATGGGCCATCGTACATTCATACCATATGATTAAATTACACTTTGAACGAATATTTAAACACTACCAAAACAACTAATACGTGGTCTTAACTTTAGCTACCTTACACTTAAAATCTAAGTCACTATTGAAACTAAAAATTCTTATAGAATTATAACCAGAAATATATACAACTCACAACAAAGAAGAAATGAAAATAAAGCTGAAACGCGCCTGTGCAATACTATCTGTCTATACCTACTTCACTTAAAAATAAATACTTATAACTACTTTAATTAATAAAAGTACCTACGCTTAATAATTTTTAATTTGAACGAATATTTAAACACTACCAAAACAACTAATACCTATTTTACAAAACAACAACAAAAGAAATTCAAATAAGCACGGTTTCTCAATATCAATTATTGTCTGTCAATAAGGTCGAGCGCTCTGAACGCATCAACAGCCAAATATTGAAGCTCGCTCGCTCTCTTTTTTTTATTTTTTTTTTTGTTTCCTCCCAGGCAGGGGAGCAGGTGTGAAATCCTCATGGATACCCTACAGCCGGCTGCAAGGTTATGTCAGACTCGTACTGACTAAAAAACACCCGAAGGGGCTGCCTCTGGCCGGGAAGGCCTCTAAGGCTTCATCGGAAGCGATCGTCCCCCAGGGGGGGGAGCGACGCAGAAAACAGATTTAGACAGCTCGCTCTCGAACCTCTCGCCTTTTGATACCCTACCCTACGCGACCCGTGTCGAGCGCGGCAACCGTTACACAAAAATAATCCTTATAGCATGATTCAGTATTCACGTGCGACGGCGCGATGGCTTATTTCATGTATAAGTTTGGTGTTTTTATACCGATTTCTAAGTTTTTTTTTTATTGAATATGTAATAATGTTAACTTTTTTAAATTAGGGATGAGTCAGAGTATTATAAACGTAAGAGTAAACAAATATGATCAGAATGCTCCGAACTGCTAAGCTATCGGGAGTTACAGGTGTTATTGTGAGTCAACCATAAAAGATAGACATATGCTGTTGCGGGATATTTTCTAGAAAATTTTATGTAGAATATTTCCGTCATACATGATTTCTATGTAACTTTAACCATTAAAGCTGCACACGCGACGGAAGCTTAAAAAATGGAGTAACTTCTCCCGTTTTCCCAACATTTCTCTTCACTACTCTGCTCCTATTGATTGTAGCGTGATGAAAAGTATACTATAACCTGCCCAGAAGTATGAGGAATAATTGTACCAAGTTTAGTTAAAATCCGTCGATTAGTTTTTGTTTCTATAAGGAACATACACACAGACAGACAGACAGACAGACAGACAAAAATTTTACTGATTGCATTTTTGGCATCAGTATCGATCACTAATCACCCCCTGATAGTTATTTTAAAAATATATTTCATGTACAGAATTGACATCTCTACAGATTTATTATAAGTATAGATAGATATGCATAATATAGTAGAGGAACACTGATCATTTTCGAGGTTTTTAATGTAAGGTCGTAAATAAACACATTTTTTTGCGTTTACATTGCAAACGCTCATATAGATCAAAATAATGTACTACAGTGTTGTACACCTTAAAAAGGCCTACAAAAAAGTCCACGATGGTATATGTCTATCTCTTAGGGATAACCCACAATAACCATTATTTTATCCTTTACTTTTTACGAGAAATAATAGATTATTTACGAAGCGATTTTCAGCAATATAACATTCATCCTTATCCAATTGAGTACCTTAAATACATTGTGCATTTAATATAGACCAATTTGGCACTTTAATGCATGTAGTTTAAATGAATATTTTCGAAGATCTTACAGATTTTAAATGCAGGGACATAGCGGATAGCGGTTCCGACGTTACCGGGCGGGGGGCCTGCCGGCGCGTGGCTATTGCAATTAGGTATTAGAAGAATGTCATTGTGTATAATACAAGCCAGAGAACAGAAACTATAGTCTACACTACAGCTCTACACCGAAGCGAAGCGAGGGCGGGCCACTATAAAACTCCCGTTCGCCTCACCCGAACACACTTTTCGTAACGCGTAACGCATTCGTCAGCTTACACCCCAAGTCAAGCGTGCTTAAAGAAGTTTTACTTCAAAAACCGCACTTTCCTAAATTCGTTCGAGATCTTGCTGGTATATACGCAAGAAAAAATAACGTGTAACGCATGGTGACAAAACGCCAAGCGTCCAGATAGTTCAGAACAATTTATTAAATTACCAGGTGTACCTCACGAAATCGTCGAAATCGGAAAAATACTATGACTTCTGGATATGTGGTGGTGCTATTGTCAGTAAAGTGCATATTATCACATCTGCCGCGTGCGTGGAAGATGTAGAGTTCATGTACGCGGTGGCGGGATACAAGAAATATGTACCGAACCATAGAATCGACGAAGACCAATGTACCAAGGAGATGAAGAAAAAAGTTATTTACACTTGTGTGCCGAAATGTGAGTACGTAAAATATCAATATTAACACAAAGTGTAGTTTTATGAAATCACGATGCAAGTGAACCTTTTAAATCCATTAATAAAAAAAAGTTCTTTCTTAGCTGGAAATCGAAACCTGGCCGCCCGCGTAGTAGGCGGCGATCTTCGACTTCTGAACCACCGATGCTTGTTAATAGTCTGAATTTTTAATAACAATCAAAAATATAATGCGACGCGCTAAAAGTTTTTTTTTTTTTTTTTTTTTATTAATTGTAATTTGCGATCAGTGCATGCCACTATAAGCAAATGTGTTGAATGAACATTGGGGTGTCAGAGTGTGCCCTTCAGTAAGGACATCTCCTCCTTAATTCTCTTTAGAGGACGTCTTTCCTTTTGAGTCGTTTGTTATAACTCCGAGTCATGAGTTGTGTTGCTAGGATGTTCGGGTGAGTCTCCAGCCTAGCCCGGTATTTCTGAGTCGCAATGGTTATTTCTTCCTTGACTGTTGACATTTCCAGGTGTTCATGGATTTCATTATTAGTGATATACCATGGCGCATCGCTAATAGTTCGAAGGATCATGTTTTGGGTTCTTTGAATGCAAAGGATGTTGGAATTGCTAGCAGTACCCCAGAGTTGTATGCCATAGGTCCACTGTGGTCTAAGGATAGTTTTATATATCAGTAACTTGTTATCTATTGACAATTTGCTGTTGCGGCCCAATAGCCACAAAAGTCGCTTGTAGCGGATGTTAAGTTCCTCTCTTTTTTTCTTAATGTGTTCTTTCCATGTAAGACGCCTATCTATGTGTAGCCCTAAGTAGCGTATACAGTTTTGATGAGGAAGAGTGACATTTTCTGACTGTACTGGAGGACAATTGCCTTGTTTCAGTGTGAATGTGACGTGAACTGATTTTGACGAACTGGCTCTTATTCTCCATTTTTGCAACCATTTTGTAATCTCATCCAATCCCTGTTGTAAAAGTTGTGTTGCAATAATAGGGTTTTTATGACTTGCAAGTATGGCAGTGTCATCCGCAAATGTTGCAGTTGTTACATTTTGCATTACAGGTAAGTCGGCTGTATAGACAGTGTAAAATACCGGTCCGAGGATTGAACCCTGTGGTACTCCAGCACATATTTCATAAAAATTTGATGTTTCTCCTGATTCTTTAACTTGGAATATGCGTTCATTAATATAAGATTCGAAGATTTGGTGATAACTATGTGGTAGGCTACATTTTAGTTTGCATAGCAGTCCCTTATGCCAGACCCTATCGAATGCCTGCTGAACATCCAAGAACACTGCTGAGCAATACTCCTTTTCCTCGAGAGTCTTTCTAATTCTCTCGTGAACTCTATGCACTTGTTCTATAGTGGAGTGTTCCTGTCTAAACCCAAATTGATGACTCGGTATAACATTATTTTCTTTGAGTATTGGAAGTATTCTGCGCTAAAAGATGAACGTATTATTTGTATCGATGTTATAAAATTTTCACTTTATAATTATTTAATCTTGTCATTCTCTGTCATTGTCAATCATGCTTTGGACCACATTTCTGAATGGGGTACCAAGAGCTTGGTTGAGTTCAATGCTAAGAAAACCTAGGTCTGCGCTTTCACGGCAAATACCTCGCCATTCCTTTTATGTCCTTCTCTTCAGGGCACAACACTGGAGCTAGAGAGCAGTATCACCATGCATCGGTATGGAGATTCGCTGTGATTTAAATCCAAAAAATTACATCGAAAGTGTGATAAAAACAGTCTCACGCAAACTCGGAGTCCTGAACAAGGTGCGGCGTTTTTTCACGCCCGAGCAACTGTGCTTGTTGTATAAGACGCAGGTGCGGTCTTGCGTGAAATATTGCTCGCACCTCTGGGATGGCTCCGACAAGTACTTCCTCGATGCTTTGGATAGGTTACAGCGGCGCGCAATCCGCATCATTGGCGATGAGGAAGTGACTTACGTGACGTCACTAGGCGCGTTCTTTCGTCTGTACCACGGCGAGTGTTTTGAGGAGTTATTCTCTCTTATTCCACCTTCCCCTTTCCTTCAGAGGAACACGCGCGCTGGCTTACGTTGTCACCGTCTAACTGTAGCTACAATTTCAACGCGTACAAAGAAATTTGGTGACTCATTCCTTTGAAGTACTATCCGTAAATGGAATGCTCTGCCCGCTAACGTGTTCCCTCCCTCTTGAAACCTGGGATCCTATAAAAGAGGCGTGAAGAAGCAACATGCCGGCCGGCAGGGTGAGAATAGCTGGTGTGGCAGGTAGAACTGCTGTATCAGCTATCTTCGCGTCTGGACTTCACCTTCACTTAACATCAGGTGGGGTGGAGTCATTTGTCGGACCTATCTATAAAAAAAAAATTACATCGGAGTTATCTTACCTTTACCTTTGCTGTAGTAAAGCTGATCTCAAATTCACCAACATGCATACCCCTTTCTACTGCATAGTCACAAGCTTTTCCTATGTCCGTTCATCGTAGGAACGGGCTTTGACATGACTCACCATGTGAGACTAGTATAATATATTATGTAAAGTAAAATCATCAAAATATTTGGTCAGAGTTGTCTTCTACCACTTGAGTAGGCAAAGACCCCAGCTGAATGTAAATTTCACTTTAAATGTACGTTGAAATCTGTTCTTATTTCTGATAATAGAACTTTTCATCACAGCAGTCCAGCACGGAAGACATAAACAACTTTTTTTAAGTACCTAGCTAATGATTCAGATTTGATTATGACATTTCTTGTAAAAACTTATAATTTTCTTCTACTTGTAGTATACGAATTAGATTATGCAAGAATAGAAAAATGGGCGTACATCGATATAGCTGTGGTCAAAGTAGAGTCTGAATTCGATTTCAACGACAGCAGATATACCAAGTTGTGTAGCTACAAACCGAGAACAATACAAATTAATTACGATCCGAAATATCAGGAACCCAATACAGACTCAATCGTGTTTGGATGGGGGCACGAGGAGAAATGGAGAAGGGTTGGTAATGTCAATGATATAATTTTGTTCGAGAAAATTCACAGCTTTATCAAATGTGAAAGGTCACCGTGAACACGGAAATGATTCTAAAAAATAGACATTAATTTAATATGTGAAGGAAAACCTTTTCCAGCCCTTTTTAAGTACATTCAGCTCACGAAGGAGTGTGAGATTCTGCATGATAAATGTTTGTATGTGCAGAAAGCTAATATTTATATACTTATAATAATGCTTTATGCGGCGTTCCACTTAAGCCAGAATAGTTCTGAACAAGCAAATAATTGCTCGCTTGGTCAATGGAAACATGAGAGTCAGCGAACGAGCTCGTATAACGATGTTTGACAGGACTCAGGGAACGTATGCTCTCTTGCTCAGTCATCAATGGAAACAATGCAACATTGTTTTGAACATTCCATTTACTGAGCGAGCAAATGTTTGCTCGCTCGGAACTGTTCTGAGCACTAGATAGAAACGCAGCTTGAGAAATACATCCACATTAATAAATTTAACATTACGCAATGAAGATGCATCTGAAGAACAAAAAATATCGAATTTTGATCATTAGGCGACGGCTATCCTAACAAATATTACAAATGCGAAAGGTTTGTTACGCCTTTACATCTAAACCACTGATGCGATTATACTGAATTTTTACTCAACACATGGAAACGGTTATAGGCTATTTTTTCTATTGAAAATATATCTTGAAAGGGGGTAAAACAGGTGCGGACATCCGCTAGTAGTTATATAAATTTAACCAAAATATAAATACAATCATTTTAATTGAAAAATGTAATCAATTTCAGCCCGAAGACGCTAATGATTATAACCAAGAGAATTTGCGTTACGCGCCAACACTGATTCATAACAAAAGGGAATGCAAAGAATCCTTCACGAATATACCGCAATTGATGTCTGTGATTGACAAGTACATGATTTGCACATTGGATAAAGGCAACTTGAATGAAGAAGGAAAACTCATAAAAACCCCGACCCTCGCAGACGGCTGTACTCCAAATATGAAACTTATGGCGAATGGTGAAATAGCGGTAATTATGCAAAATAATTAATTGCAAAATATTAAACGACCGGTATTCTGATTTAATGTTGTTCTTAAAAGATCTCCTTAAAATGCGCATTTGATAATTTGTAATCAATTGTAATTTTATTACATTTTTCTCTGTGATTATTTACTCATTTTTCTACATGCATTTAATTTCTAGACTATTATAATTATCTAAAGAAACTTTTTACTACAAAAAAATAAATTCTTTTTTTTGCTAGTAGGTAGGAACTATGGGAAAATATGTTTGTTCTTTGTTTTAATGCCTGATGTCAACTTAAACACGTATTATTATTTTTACAAAAATGGAATCTATCTTTGTTGGTCTATTTATTTGATTAACATTTACATACCTACATAGTATATGAGTAAATATAATATAAAATAGTATAAATACTCTGATATTATCTACTTATTATTGCATTAAAAGTTAAAAATAAAAACAGAAACCTAAACTGATTTCAATTATTTCATTGTGTTTCTCATTCACAGTGTGAGGAGGACGAGATATTTATCTCGGATGAGACTCGAAGATCTGGGAAGAGTGACAACATTTTAGCACGTATTCTGAAAACACAGCAGAGTCGCAGACAAGGTATATGCCAGGTACACACGCCAATAGCTTCAGTATTTTTTTGTAACTTGATCTTTGGCTGTCTTTTTCATAGATTTACACCAATGTTATTATTGCTGCAAGCCAAGTACGCACAACTAGTGAGAAAGTATTCGTATCGCCATGCCGACATTTCTATGGAAAAGATAGTTTATTCTTACGTCCAGTAGGGGTACTGCTTAGTTTCCATAGACACTGACGTTTGTGATACGAATACGGGTCTGTCAAAGTTTGTGCTTGGGGTATTGTGGAGTGGTCAAGACTCCACTGACACACTTAAATATCAGGTGGAGTGGGGTGAAGTAATTTTATAGGTTTTGAATTGTAGTGAGGTTTATTCCCCCTAGAATTATTCGAGGAGCTCGATGGCGCAGGTGGTTTGCGCGTTCGGCTGCGATGGTTGAAGTTAAGCAACTTTCGCAGTGGTCGGTCATTGGATGGGTGACCAAAAACATCTATCTCGAGTTCTGCCGTGCTTCCGAAGGCACGTTAAGCCGTTGGTCCCGGCTGCATCTGCAGTCGTAACGCACCCGCTAATCCGCACTGGGCCCGCGTAGTGGGTCGTGGCCCAATCTCCCTATTCCATCCATAGGGAAGGCCTGTGCCCCAGCAGTGGGGACATTAATAGGCTGATGATGAGGTTTATTCACTGACATTCTATTGTTTGTTATACTAAAGGTGAAGCCAAATTAGAGTAATTGTTGAGTTGTGAGTCGCGTCATTTCAGCCGCATTTGGTTTCATTGAAAAGTCTCTGTCTCGTTTTGCACCGCGCTGTGAATCAAACTGGTCTTTTCTATGAAGCCAAAAGTAGCTGAAATTACGTGACTCACAACTCAAAATTTACGCTCTTTTGACTTCACCTTAAGAGAACTGACGGGAATAAAATCACAACTGCTTTACTACGCAGTATGACAAATAAGAAATATTGTAATAATAAAAAAAAAGTCTTTGTTCTACTTTGTTGTTCTTTTTGGGTTTTGGATGTTTGGGCTATCCTATTTGTTCTACTGTTAGCTGAAGTACTTGTAAGTAATTTACTATATCTTAACTAATTTTATAAAGCTGAAGAGTTTGTTTGTTTTTTTGGTTGTAAGCGTTAACTCATGAACTACTTACTGGTCTGATTTGAAAAAATCTTTTTGTGTTCGATAATCCATTTACTAATGCAGTCTAAGTGCTATATAACATCAGGCTACGACGCATAGGAACGTAGCATTGATAAACATGTTGCAAAAACGTGAAAATAATATTCCATTTTAGAGCTTCTGTTGCGTGCGTTGGTAATATCATGTACAACGGAATAGGGGTAATGACGGGGTACAGTAAATGAAATTCTATTTAGTCCGTCAGTTAGATGATCACAAAATAATGTACACCTATTTTCTTTGGGCAACCAACCAAAAATGACTAAAGTTATAGCGCGGCCAGGTTTGGGAGTAGAGGCTCGTGACGTCACTTTTAAGTGAAAATTGTACCAAAACGTGACGTCATGCGACTTTTCAAATCAATATATCTCTGCAATGTTTATATTATGTGAAAAAAGAAATAATACGTGTCCAATACTTTTTGATAATCTACCTGATAAACGAAGAAAAACAATTGTCATCATCCCTATGGTTTCCATTAAAAAGTACAACTTACAAAAAAATCCGCGACTACTCATATCCGTCTTGTAAGTTTGACTCACTATAAGCATTTTTCTCAATTTAAAACGTATTTTTGTCAGAATGACCACGGAGGTCCGCTGGTGACATGGGTGGGAGCTCAGGAGGTGCTCATCGGCGTGGCGTCGGTGTTCCGGGTCACGGGTGACTCTCGCTGCGCCGGCCCGTACCTGTACACGAGCACGCAGTGCAATGGCATCTTTTTGGATTGCATCCTCAACTCATCTGGTGACAAGTAAGCTGGAATTTCAAAGAAACAGATTTTGAATACAGGCCTTCAATCTGCGCGGCCAGACGTCTATCGCAGCACGAACGAGGTCCATGTCAATATCGGCGGCTGCCTTAATCAAGGATGTCTTGAGTGACTCCAAATTGGGATGGGCTTTGAGCACGCCCTTTCCTCCAAGTGTTACCATATCTTTTATTGTAACGGACTCAAATCTAGACTGGAGGAGGGACAATCTTCGTGCCGGATGAAGTCGATTTCACGCGCCGCCAGCCAGCCTTGTGTGCTCTTCGCTCTATGAGCTGGCGCCGATTCTTGTTGGAATACCCAGTGCCTGTTATTGAACATGGTATGAGAAACAGGTTCCACAAGGTTCGTCAAGACTGTATTTTGATACACAACTGCATTCGTTTTTACACCTTTCTCACAAAAATGTACGTCTGTTAAGCCCCAATAAGAAACTCTCAACCATACCATGAGCGAGGATGGAAAATGACCTCGTTGGACACGGGGAATACGGTTGCTCGCTTCTTCACTACTGTGTGCGTACACCTTATCATTTTGTTTGTTGTAGCTCTCTTCTACGGTAAAAATTTTTTCATCCGAAAAAAGAATTTCCCGATATTTTTTTCCCGCGTACCGCTTCAACAAAGCGCGGCATCTCTTCAGTCTCAGGTCCATTAGACGGTCTTCATTTAGCACCCTTTTCACCGTGGTTCTGCTTTATCCCATCTGAAGGGCTAACAGTTTCTGCTTACGTTAAGGATTTCTTTGGATTCGCGTCTTCACAGCTTTTATCACTGCTGGAGTCCTAACAGACCGAGGACGACCACTTCTTGACCTGTCATCTACACTAGAGTAACTAAACGAATCTTTTATTTATATTCAAATTTTTCAGTATGTCAAAAATTTGAATTGGAGTGTAACCGCAACGATGCAACGCAATGAGGGCTATCGTTTTTTGTCTCACCAGATGGCGCCACTGTTGAGTGAGGTCCTGAAATGTAGCTTTTAAAGTTAGTAAACACGCTCGTGATATCAAAGTTTACATTTTAATACAAAAGAACCGTATCTTAAACATAATCGCCCATGTCAGTGTTGCGTAGTCCCGTTTTGTTCGGAAAAAAGGACAACGTAATATTTTTTTACAGCTCCGCTTTTAACTAACGGACATTCATTGACACGTAACTCATATTTGCCATAATAAGTCTGATTTATTACCAAATATTACAACTATTATTTTAATTAGTAAAAAACCGCGTAGTCGACCCACAAAGCTATAACATTTGACATTTCGGAGACCTCACGCAACACAAGCGCCTCTAGCGGCGGTTTCAGACGCGATAGCCCTCATTACTGCAACACGGTCTTCTTTAAGCGTCCACTCCATATTTAAAAATGAGTAAAATTCTAAAAAGTATACATTTTTATTTTCATGAACAATTCGAAATTCAAATTTAATAAACTTTTTTGTGGCCAGCATTCTAAAAGAAAATTCTTTGCCTTCATAGCTTTTATCACTGCTGGAGTCCTAACAGACCGAGGGCGACCACTTTTTGACCTGTCATCTACACTAGAGTCTTCATTGTATAGCCAATTGAAGTACCTACGGAACCTTAAAAATAATATTTTTATATTGTTTCATAATTTGACTCAGTTGACCATCAGTGACCATCTTCGAACATTGCGAAGATGGTCACACAAATAATAATAAATAGATAACATTACACGTTAGAGTATCCGGTAATACAGGTAGGTAATATTAAATATGATTATTACATTTCATTATTATACGACATGAAAAGGTTTCGAAACCCTGCTTCTTTAAGCTTCTTTTTTTAATGTTATATTGAGTAAAGTATAGGTACCTTACAACGGGTAATCCTAGTTGTCATATTATATATTTCTGACAGGACTAGAAGAGCGATCTGCAAAAAACCGCCAATAGAAAGAGGATTTCATACAATTGAAAAGCATATATCTTGGAGGAACCACCCTGATGGGTAAGTATTTAGTCATCATCATCACTACCAGACTATTGATGTCCCCACTCCTGGGGCGCAGGCTTCTCAATGTATAGAACAGGGAGAATTGGGTCATGATCCGCCATGCAGGCTCAGTGAGGTTTGGTTGGCGCTAACTGCATATGCAGTCAGGACCAACAGCTTAACGTGCCTTCCAAAGCACAAAGGAGCTCGTGATGATAAGATCTTGGTAACCCATCCAATGACGACCATTGCGATACTTGCTTCCATAATCGCAGACCAAACGCGCTAACCACCTGCGCCATCGAGCTCCTCAAGTATAAAGTGCTTTAACATTTTTTTCTTTCATTGTTATGAAAGCAATAAAAATATTAATAAAATGTTTTCAGAATAGTAATCATCATCATCATCAGCCTCTTAATGTCCCCACTGCTGGGGCACAGGCCTTCCCTATGGTTGGAATAGGGAGATTGGGCCATGACCCACCACGCGGGCTCAGTGCGGAATGGCGGGTGCTAACGACTGCAGATGCAACCGGGGCTTAACGTGCCTTCCGAAGTACGGAGGAGCTCGAGATAGTAAATTTTTGGTCACCCATCCAATGACCGACCACTGCGAAAGTTGCTTAACTTCAACGACCGCAGCCGAACTCGCTAACCACTTGCGCCATCGAGCTCCTGATGGGGCTCCAAGATAGGCATCGAGCTCCTGAATAGTAAGCCAGGATGAAAATCAGTGTCAGTTTTTTCGCGGTTTTTTCTGACTTAATGCTAAGCTAACCCTTAAGCCTGTGCTTTAGCACACCAGCTTCTATCTTATATATAGTTTTTTTAAACTTATTTATTTAGAGGCTTATACCCTATACACATAAAGGATATGCCAGCCCCATCATATCCTATCATTATAAATTACAAAATTATTATAAAACTACGAAGATTTCATTGTTGCAATATATACATAAGATAAGACTTTTGAATATCGGAAATATTCAAAAGTCTTATATACTGCGCATCTTTCAATGTTGTGTAACTATCTATTTTAAATATAACTTTATATATGAGTGTGTCTTGCTTCTATCTAACATTTTAACAATTGTTTTACCATAATGAGACTAATATAAGGTAGCGCAAAAGTAATATTCCATTTTTTTATTTGTATAACTTTTTTACTAAATAAAAAAAAAGAGTTCCGGAAATCTTTCTTAAGACAAGGAAAGGTAATTCCGTCAAATGGTTGCCGCCAGTGTTGATATACATGAGGCTTGTTGGCATAAACCCGAGACTTCAAGTAACCAAAAATAAAGAAGTTTAGGCCGGTTCAACCGGGCGTTCTTGTTTGCCATGATAAATCACCAAAATGAAATCGTTCTGTGTGTGCGGTTGCACCGTCTTGTTGAAACCACCGCATGTTCACGCTCCTGCGCAGTATCGTATTTCGTTGCTTATCTGTTTGTATTTGCATCTATCTGGTTCACAAATATCAAATATAATTGACGTGCGACGCCATTTGCCATAATTATAACATCTTCCGATAGAGTGGTTACTTTTGCACCACCCTGTATAAAACTTTTTTATTTTAACAGACCTTAGGCAGTCGTAAGACTGATGTCGGTCTTAATAAAAAAAAGAAAATCTGTTTAAAGTTCGATTGATTCTTTCCAGACCAGCTGAAAATGAATTAGTTATGAGGCCACAGCGTCCGATCAGACCGTATGGATAAACTGCAGGAAGAAGAATATTTAAATTAATCCAGAAGTAGAGTAAAGATGGATAAGGATAAAAGGATTTTAATAATTCAATATGCACTCAAAAAGCTTTGTTAGTTTTGTTTGAAAATTAAACAAAATAATTCTCGTTGTTACGTTGTTTATAGTTCGGCAGCTATGGAGGAGGAGAAGTCCGTTAATGCATCTTAATGGTATATTAAGGGATAGATCTCTATAGATGCACCAATCTCACTTTTTTGATAAAAAAGGTAAATTTATAAAATCAAAAAACCCGCTTCACCTAATTATTACTTTACATAAAAACTGAAAAGAAAAAACTAGTCAATAATATTATTATCAATATAAAAAATCTAATTATTAATAAGGAAATCTTGTATTATTAAGTGAGCAGGTACTAGTTAGTAAATATTTTGAAATAATAACATTAGCTGTTGGAAGCACGGAAAAAAGAGGATTTTTTTCTGAAAAAAAAAATTACATGATGTTCCGTTAATTTAAAATGCTATATTATTTATGAAAAAATAATCCTTATGATTAACACTTTCGATATACTATACTATACTAGCAAACCCAGCGAACTCCGTTTCGCCAACAGATAGCTTCGTTTTATGTAACATTTCGTTTTGTGATTAAAAGAAAACGATTTTTTTTTAAATTTTCCTGAATTTTCTTTGCTATAAACCTCACGGAGCCCGAGACCTTTCCAACGAATGCAAAACCGTGGAAATCGGTTCGTGCGTTCTGGAGTTATAGCGTCAGGAAGGAAAACACGACTTATTTTTATATAGTAGATAATACGTCATGTGTTTTTTTTAATTCACGAGTTTGATTCCCAGCTGTAGCTGGCGATTGAAAATAAAATCTGTGAACGCAGTTTTAATTATTACTAAAAATAACATAATGATAACTGCGCTTCGCGCTCTTGCATTGCTTAGTCGGGTAAAAAGGTACCAAAATGCCTCTCCATGTTGACTTTGGGCATGAACACCTTAAAGGACCGGGTCCCCATGGACTCATTGTTGAGTATTCATAAAATTACATGAAAAAGCTAAGTAAAGGACATTTTTTTTTCTAAATCAGTGACCACGGAGAATTCACAGTCTCTGTTAGGTTAGGTTCGGTTAGTGTGATGACCTCAAGTTAGCTCGAGCTGAGCAAGCTAAATGAGTGAATGCCCAATGCTTTTTGCCATATTATGGCATTAAAAGTTCTATGTTTTTTATTGTTTGAAAAACCTAATTTTAGTAAATAATAAAAAAATATAAACAAAGAAACCACCACAATTAAAGGGTCCTTCCGCAACAAATAACTTTTAGTAGCTTAGAAGTGCCTTAAAATAAATTATGAACTAATTCTTTAAAAACGTAAAATAACACACTGCGGCTTCCCCGAAACAAAGAAAATGAACTTCAAAAACAAGCACTAAGCATAGCTATTCCTTTAAAAAAATAAAGATTGCCAAAACTTGCAAACTCTTTTTCGAATTTTGACTCTTTACTGGCGAGTCGTCGGCATCTCGTGTGTAGCAGACGGATTTAAAACAAGGTTTAAGCCGACAGTTTGTCTCCTCTTACAGGCTCGTTTTGCGTACTGGTAAACTGGGATTTATTCATGCACACAATAATATTACTAGATATGGATCCTCTTTAGTTTTAGCAATGAACAGCCTCAGTTCAAGAAAATTCGTTCGAATCCAATAATTACTTTAAAAAATATTGATTTTTGATGGATGGTGAAAATGGTATAAGTACTACTAAAGTCCTTGTTTTGAAAAATGGCAATTCGCACTGGTGTACGACGTGTATGTTAGTCAGTGTCAGCTTACTAATGCACAGTTCTAACACTTCCTGTAATGTTTTCTCGCTTAAATCGCTAAAACAATTTTAATGAATTTTGTTAAAGAGTGATTTTGGAATCCGGTGAATGATTTTGGAATGTGAAAATATAATAATAATAATATAGCCTTTTATTTCCGAAAATGTAGATTTACAAATAAATTTTTAACACTTGTTTACATGCATGCTGTTACAGAATGTCTCTGGTTTCGGTGTGCCTTACGGCAAAGGCCTCCTCCAACTCTTTCCAGTGTTTTCTATCCGCAGAAACTCTTATCCAGTGAACTCCTACAGTGAGTTTCAGGTCATCCTCCCATCTTCTGACTTTGCGTCCTCTTGTCCTGATGCGGTCTCTTGGGTACCAAACTGTCACCTGTTTGCTCCATTTCTCTTTTTTACATCGAAGCATATGACCAGTCCACCTCCATTTGAGTTGATCGATACGTGCTAGTATGTCTGTTAAATTGGTTTTTTGTCTTATATCTGCACTTCTGACTCGATCTTTTAGTTTTAGTCCTAGCATGCTTCTTTCCATACCTTTCTGGCATCTTGCAAGTTTGTCCCTGTGTTGTTTCGTCAGGGCCCATGTTTCGCATCCATATGTGATGCAGGGTAAGATACATGTATCGAAAGTCTTCTTTTTGATCTTAATGCTCAGTACCTTGCTTTTCATCACTTCTTTCAGAGCCCAGTACTTTTTCCACCCAGTCGCAATTCTTTTGTCTATTTCTTTTGACATTTGGTCATCTGGTGATATTATCTGGCCTAGATAAACATATTCATTTACATATTCGAATTTTTGTTCACTGTTTGTTATTTCTACCTGGGTGGAGTTTGTCATCATTTTAGTCTTTGTTAAGTTAATTTCTAAACCCACTTCCCTACTTACACTGACTAAGGTCTGTACCATGTACTCCAGCTTTTTTGGGTCTTCCTCCAATAGAACAAGGTCATCTGCAAATCTTAGGTGACTCAGTCTTACTCCATTTATGTTCAGCCCCAGATGTTCCCATTCTAGTTTTCTGAACATTTGTTCAAGTACTGCTGTAAACAGCTTTGGTGATAGTGGGTCACCCTGTCTGACACCTCTTTCTATGGGGAAAACATCTCCCGTGGATTCCAGCCTTATACTAGCCTTGCTTTCTGCATAGATATTTTTTATTATTTTTATGTAGGTGTTTTCAATCCCCTGCTCTTTTAGACTTAGCCATACATACTTGTGGATGAGGCTATCAAAGGCTTGGGAGTAGTCTATAAAGGCCAGATAGATTGGCTTGTTATATTCATTGTATTTTTGTATGATCTGTTTTATTGTGTGTATATGATCTATTGTGCTGAAATCTTTCCTAAATCCTGCCTGTTCCACTGGTTGGTTTTCGTCAAGCCTGGTTGTTATTCTGTTTAGAATTACTTTGGCAAAAACTTTATAAACATTTGATATGAGAGATATGGGCCTGTAATTTCCCATCTCATCTCTTGAACCTTTTTTGTGTATAAGTATTATATGTGACTCTGCCCAGTTTTTGGGAATAATGCCTGTGCGTAGTGTGTCGTTAAATACATTTGTTAAAATTGGGCTTAGTTCTTCAGTTGTTCCTTTCATTAGTTCATTTGTAATTCTATCTGGTCCGGGAGCTTTTTCCAATTTTTGGCTTTTTATAGCTTTTTCTACTTCACATTGCAGTATCTCTGGTATATCTTCGTTATAAAGGCTTTCCTGCGTTTCTATTGTATATTCTCTTTCAGGTGAGTGTAATATTAGTTGACCGGGGCTAGGTTTTTGGTATAATGAGCGATAATAGTTAGTAGCGATATTTTGAATTTCGGTGCGAGATGTTGTTGTCCGTTCTTTATCTTTCATTTTTGGTATCCATTCTTTCCCTTTTTCTCGAAGTTCTTTGAGCGCTTTTACTATGCCTCCTGTTTTGTTTATGTGATTCTCTAGGATTTTGTTCCTTCTGTTCGTCCTGTCCTTTCTCATATTTTCGCGAATCTGTTTACAAAGATTGGATATTTCTTTTTGGTTTTCCTTCTTAGTCTGGTTTGCAATGAGTTTTCTTCTATCTTCCATTAATTTTAAAGTTTTATCACTTAAGTAGGTTTCCTTGGTTTTGTCTATTTGTGTCACTGTCTGGTTTTTAAGAGCTTTTTCTATTTTTCTATATTTTTCGCTTAGGTTAATATCTGAGGTAACTACTTCCATCAGGTCTTCTGTGATGTTTGTTGAATCCTTCTTCATAGTTGTTGTTTTTAAGTGATTTATTTGGGTTGCTCTCGACCTGGACATTTTTGTGCTCTTTTCTTTAAGACAACTGCGTACCATACGATGGTTAGTGTTGAAATTCAAATTTTGTATAACTCCTGTATCACTAAATGCTCTGACATTGTTGGTAATTATGTAGTCGATTTCGTTTTTAATCTTTCCGTCTGGAGATAGCCAAGTCCATCTGTTTTTGGGCTTTTTGCGGTACATAGAATTAAGAATTGTTAGATTTTGTTCAAGCAAGAGTTCAACCAATCTTTCTCCATTTTTGCTTCTTTTTCCTTTTCCATATTTCCCAATTATATGTTCTTCCCCTGCAAGTCTAGCTCCTACTTGAGCGTTGAAATCGCCCATGACCACAATGTTATTTTCTGAATATTTTTCAATTATTTCCCTCAGTTTGTCATAAAAATTCAATATATCAGAATTTGGTGCTTTTTCAGTTGGCGAGTAGACTTGGATGAATGTCCACTTTTTAGGATGTTTCGGCAAGTTCAAATGCACTAAAACTAATCTATCCGACATACCTTCAAACCCTATGATTTGGTTTTTAAGATTTATATTTACCAAGAAACCCACTCCCCTGTGACCAGCGACTTCGCCTTTGTGATACATGATAAAGTTTTTTCTTTCTTCTATTTCTTCTCCCAACCTTCGCATCTCGCTTATACCCAGAATGTCCCACTTGATTTTTTCCAGTGCTAATTCTAGCTCTTGTAAACTTTCAGGTGTTCTCAAAGTTCTTGTGTTTAGTGTACAACAATATAGATTACTTTGCTTTTTAAAGTCCTTTTTTGTACCAGTTGTATTTGATACATTTGTTGGAGGGTGTTGGTCGGACTCCCCCAGGTGACCAGCCCGGATTGGGGGACAGTTTGTTGAGGTTGTTTTTTCGTTTTTGTTTGCTATTGATTTCCTGTGTTGTTGATTCCGGTCGGAGGGGGCCTTTACTTGTTTTTTGGCAGCTCTGGCATAGAGTTTGATCTATCACGTGAAACATATGCTAGTATACTTGGTTTGATTACTTCCCTTGCCGAGTTTTGAGGTGTTGCTATTTTTGTTGTATTTACTATGTTTTGTTTTTTCTGAGATTGAGTATTTGGTGATTTTGTTGTCTCTCTCTTCCTTTTTTCTCGGTTGATGGTCCCTGGTTTTTTGACAATTAGTTTGTCGTACTTTATGTAAGCTATATTTCCCTTTTTTCTTTCTTCTTCCATTTTCGGCTGCAACTGTTTACGTATTTCAAGAACATTCTTCGGGAAGTCCTCTTTGACATACACATTTGGCGGAAGATGTCGTTTGTTCTTCAGTATCAGATGTTTTTTCCAGGATGTGGTGAGAGATATTAGTATTGGAAAATTATTTTCCGATTGTTTTCCAATTCTTTGGATATTGCTAATTTCCTGGCTATCTAAATTCGTTCCCGATTCCTCTACAATTTCTTTAATATGATCGACCAGCTCCAATTCTGTCTTTCCTTTTCCATCAATACCGAAAAAAACCAAATTATTCCTTCGTTTTTCCTTTTCATAATATGATATTTTTTGCTCCAGACTATTAACTTTGGTTTTGAGGTCGTTATTTTCTTCTCTTAGGATTTTCAACTTTTCGTCCAGGGCCTCCATTACATTCTTCGTTATTTCCGTTGTTAGTGTTTTTGTTTGTTCATTAAACTTTTCTGTAATTTGACTGAGTAACAATTTCATTTGTTTTTCCATGTTAATATTTGGGTAAATTTGGTGATATGTGTTGATAACCCCGTGGTAAATTTTGTGGTAATTTTATTTTTTCTTTTGTGGCAACACTTTCGGTGAATGTCTTTAGCTGTATTAGCTGTCAGTGTCAAACAGATGTCACTGTCAGTTTGAATATTGATTCAACTGAATGAATGATCGATTTTTAATTTTGAGGTTATGATGATCGTTTTATTTTTGATTAAAATTTCACGAATGTAGCACTTTCACTCCAAATTTATTGATTATGCACTGAGTTAGTTCTGTTTCCAGATGTTTTGAAGTATTTTGTGTTCGAATTGTCACTTTTTGCACTGTTATTTATTGATAACTGCAGAGCTCTTTGTAGTACGTGTTTACACTTTCGTCGCCGGAACCGGAAAGGATTCATATTCATAGCTATTCCTTTAAAAAAATAAAGATTGCCAAAACTTGCAAACTCTTTTTCGAATTTTGACTCTTTACTGGCGAGTCGTCGGCATCTCGTGTGTAGCAGACGGATTTAAAACAAGGTTTAAGCCGACAGTTTGTCTCCTCTTACAGGCTCGTTTTGCGTACTGGTAAACTGGGATTTATTCATGCACACAATAATATTACTAGATATGGATCCTCTTTAGTTTTAGCAATGAACAGCCTCAGTTCAAGAAAATTCGTTCGAATCCAATAATTACTTTAAAAAATATTGATTTTTGATGGATGGTGAAAATGGTATAAGTACTACTAAAGTCCTTGTTTTGAAAAATGGCAATTCGCACTGGTGTACGACGTGTATGTTAGTCAGTGTCAGCTTACTAATGCACAGTTCTAACACTTCCTGTAATGTTTTCTCGCTTAAATCGCTAAAACAATTTTAATGAATTTTGTTAAAGAGTGATTTTGGAATCCGGTGAATGATTTTGGAATGTGAAAATATAGGTCACTGTTTTGCTGAAGATGAGAGAAGAATATAAGTCACAATCTATCTAGATATATTTTTTTATGTTGAAATTGGGGACTTTCCAAGCGGACCTTGTGGCCGCACACACAATGTAAAACTTTTTTTTCCTTTTTCTATGTCATTCACCTTGCTTGTCAAAAAGTAAACAATCAATACGAAAATAATTATAAAAGTTTTAAAAATAACACGCAATTTATTAATAATAATCTTCACACTATAAATTGGTGACCGCTGGCTATGTTATTGTATATAGTGATAACAAAAATTATAAATAGAAACCGAAAATAGTGCAACCACGCAATATTACAACTTGAACAAAATTTCGATCAAATTACCACCGTTCTGGACTGGTAGAAACCAAGTAGAAGCACAATTTACTAATAATAATATTAGATCCGAAGACACAAAATTCAATTTTCTTGTTTCGCAACTTGAACCAGTATTTATATATGCTATAATATATCAATATATGGGATATAGTAACTGGTGCGAGTAATGCCAAATATACTGCTGCCAAACAACGCTTGCTTAACATATTAAATAAATAAATATTTCTAACACTCATACCAATTAGCCTAGCCCCAAAATAAGCACTATAAGGCTTGTGTTATGGGGTATTAGAGTAACGGGTAGAATACACATATACTGTACATATATAATATATTTATATAGAAGTACTTATTGAACATCCATGACTGGAGTACAAATGCTCGTGTGCATCACACAAACATCTGCCCCCACCGGGATACGGACCCGGGACCTCTCGAGTCGGTGACACCATGAAATCCGGCGTACAAACCTCTCGGCCACGGAGGTCGTCATTACTCTTTCATTCAAAGAGAGCGAGGAATAACAACTCAAGCGTTTACTAACCGGACTCGAACTAAGCCAAAATGCAAAGCTTGGGTAGCTCTGATATATCTCAGAACGTTTTGGCTCGATAAACTACCTTCTTCTATCAAAAATATATTTACTATAAGCGACAAAAGCTTAGACAAGCTAGCTGTTGTGGCGGATAACATGAATGAAATGTCTCCTATTAACGAGCTTTGCAGTACAAAAGCACAACCATCTACTAGCCAGAACACAATTTCCTTTGACGAAGTGTTTGCTAAAATAGATTCATTAGAAAAGAAAATGGAGACCATGCACTTATCTAGAACATCAAGATCCAGTTCACGGCAAGTTTATCGCAGCCCGAGCCGCAGTCGTCCGTTCAGCCCCTCTAGTATGAACACCGAAACGGGATATGATAAAGCGATATATCGGCATTAACTGTCATACTACTGTCAAACTACGCTGTAGTCTGACAGTTCATGCCTCGTTACTGTCAAACTACACTGTAGTCTGTCAGTTAATGCCGATATATCGCTTTATTATATCCCGTTTTGGTGGTCACGCTAGAGGGGCTGAAGATGTTACAACCCTAGCGGCAGATATTGTTTCTACCATTAGGAAATGTGGAGAGAATTGTCGCGCAGAAAAATGCAAACCACCTTGTACGTGGAAAAATATAACGATTTTCAGCACATTCACAAAGATACTACTATTTATTCCAAAATTGACCTTTTGAAAGCTTATTATGAACTTCCCATGGCTGAAGAGCATAAACACAAGGTCGCCATCACAACACCGTTCGGAATATTCGAATTCAATGTTCATGAGCTTTGGTTTAAGAAATGCACCAGCCACATTCCCAAGATTCATCAATACTGTCTTCAACTAGATTTTGTATTCGTCCAGATAGGAAATATTTCATTAAAAACACCTCAAATAAGTTTTTGCAAGGCTTGATGAATATGGTTTAAGAATCAATGTCTCCAAATCATTATTTGGTTTCACTGAATTAGAATTCCTTGGACACCTCATAACACTAAAAGGGTTAAAGCTAGCCAAATTAAAGTACAAGCAATACTTCATTACAATATACCAGAGATATATAAAGACCTTCGTCAATTTCTCGGACTTATGAAGTTCTATAGAAGTCACATCAAAAACGCATCTCAAACTCGAGCCAAATTACACGATTATCTAAAGTGTGCAACAAAAAACGACAAAAGCTAAATTCCTTGGACGGAAGTAACAAAACAATTGTATTTTTTTAATTATCGTAATTCTAGACATATTCCGAAGTCTATGCAAACAGACAGTCTATGCAGTTAGGTACCCACCAAAACTGTCTGAGGATTAAACTTTCATTTCGGTTGTTTTACTTCAGAGAGATAGGGAGCGAACATCGGTGGAGTTTTATTTGCTGCTGTGGTTTGCTTATCCCTGCTTATTTGTTTACATGGGAGGGGGAGTTTTAAGAATTACTTTAGGTACCTACTGTAAATATTGTTCATTCAATTTGTATCTTGAATATTCTTAAGCGTATTGGATGAAAACGAGTCAGGTTCGATGGGAAAAGTTTCGTACTTTTATCTGATTTCTAGGTCGCGCGTTAAACGTAGAAAACGCTTTTCATTTATAGGAGCTACCTCAATTATAATAATAAAATACATCTTTCATCATTATTATTTGTAGTTTTATAAAATTTCACGCATTTTGTGAAATTTTATTCTAATGCCGGAAATATATTTCTCACTCATATATTTTATTTTTAGATTACAGACTTATAGACTCACCAAACTATTTATCTAATTTTTAACATATTTCTTTTCCTTTGAGAGTTCCCAACATGCGAACTTTATTTTTGTATTCTTGAAATACCGGAATTCCGTGGTGAGTTTGCTGGGCGTAGGTATTCCTAAAAATGACTAAAGTAATTTAAATGTGTAATAAATAAAAACGCTGCTGCAGTAAATACATATATATATATATATACATATACACACGCATCAAAAAAAGTTTGCGATCACTTTCAAAAATAGATTGTTTTTGTGTTACACAATACTTTTTTGTAATTTCTTTTTCTGATAAGATTCTCAATTTTGAAGTTAGAATTAGAACGTAAAACAATAAAATAATTCAATTGTTTTTCCATACAAAAAGACATGCAAAGCAAGACATCATTCAAAAATCTGACTAAGTCAATATTATCGAATTTAAAATATTTCTTCACGGAAAGTTGTGATTTAAAAAATGCCACGAGGATTATCAGATGTTTTACGAGCCAGAATTGTAACTTTGAGGGAAGAAGGCTATTCTACGAGAGAAATAGCACGCAGAGTTGCCATATCCCAATCCTGTGTAGTAACCCCGTTGCAGAGGTACCACGGCATGGGTAATTTAGCTGATCGACCCCGCAGCGGTCGCCCAACTGTTTTGACAACTCCTCAGAAGCGATACATGAGGTTGCTGGTAGCCCGCGACCCAACAATAAGCGCCACTAAAGCAAAAGCAGAAATACGGGCCGCCTCCGGACTTGAAGTTAGCAAACCCAGACCATTCGGAATTGCTTACTCAAAGCTGGATTACGAGCACGGAGGTCTTGGCGAGCACTTTTGAATTCACGGGAACGTCAGCCACGGAGATAACAGTGGGCTAGGCTCCAGCAAAACGAAGAAGACGAAGAGGAAAACATTTGGCAAAACTGCCTCTTCGTTGACGAATCGCGAATCAGTCCTCATCCAGATACCCGACGTGTCCGTGTTTGGAGAAGACCTGGGAAAGGCAAAGAACGGCCACTGGAACGGTTCAGCAAGGCGGGAAATCGGTGTCCTTCTGGGGTGGTATTATGATTGGGGCTAGAACGACGTTAATCCCTTATCAAGGCAGACAGATACAAAACAGTCGCTACTGATGGAATCGACAAACCTTTCCGAGTAAACTATGGGCACCAATTTGTACTGGTTGACGATAATGCACCCGCACATCGAGCTCAACGAGTCAATGCTGCTCTCCGAGAATACAAAATCACAAGGTTAGACTGGTCTGCCGGCTCTCCTGACTTAAACCCAATAGAGCACGCGTGGGATGCTCTTAAGCGAGCTGTTTGGAACCGGCAGCCACCACCCCAGACTGTGCCGCAGCTCAAGGAAGAATGCTGTTCAAGAATGGGAAAGGTTACCACAAGAAATGCTGGATAACTTGATCCTCATCATGC